GAGAAAGATGAGAATTTTCTAGAAGAAAAGTAAAAAAAAAAAAGCAATGTGGGAGGCTTTTTCCTCTTCATGAACTGTAGGGCATTCCCCTACATTCTTTAATATATCGTTTGGCATAAGTTTAAAGACATTCCCTCATCTAACTTTCCTATATTCCAGGGAAATTGCCAATGATTAAAATAATAATAATAATAATAATAATAAGCCTACCTCACTTTATGTAGTCAAAACGTTCCAAAAGGATTTTGTGTTACATTCTTGAGTAAAAGGAAGAACTCCCAGTTGCATAATAACTAAGAGCAAGAACTCCACAGCCAGTCTGCCTGGATTCTAAACCATGCTCTGTCACTTATTAGCTCACTACTTGGGCAAGCTACTTGATCACTCTGTGCTTCAGCTTCCTATCAGTAAAATGGCAATACTACAGTGCCTTCCCCAAAGAGCTGCTATGAGGACAAAATGAGTTAATATTTGTTAAGTGCTTAGAACAGTGTATGGCATAAAGTAACTGCCATAAAAGCATTTTATTAAAATAAATAAATCCCTAATTAATCTTTTCAATAAAATTTTACCTAAACATATGGCAAGTGATGGCTTAAATCTCATCCAATGAGACTGAGTTCTCCAAGTAGTCATACGCAGTGCTGTACCAGCAAGTTTGGGAGTCACAGACTCCTGGCTCTGCACTCCTCTGCGTGGCCCTAGGCTAGTCACTTTAACCACTCTCTAAACTTTTGCTTCTTCATCAGTAAAATGGGAATAACAACAATTATCCAGGTAAAGTGAGAAAAACAGATGTAAGGTTCTTGGCATAAAGTATTAAGCACTCAAGAAGTGACACTATCCCTTGATGCCAAAGACACATGTACACATCCACCTATTAACACAACACAGGCAGGAGCAACAGCTCTGAGCTGTTTTGAGTTAACTACCTCAAACACTACTGCATGGGCTGGGCTTTGCACTGCAGTTTTATCTCAGCTGTAGGGCAACCTGAAGAAGCAAGAATCAGGTGGCTGGATCCAAAGAGGACAAAAGTCAATGCACAGACTTCATCAGGCCAAATCAGAGAATGAGTGGTTGGTGTGATATGGATAGGTACAAACAAAGCCAGAACTGGGGCTCTCCTCCCCAGGCCCACCAAAGAGGTAAAGATCTAAAAACAAACACCAGAAAGAAAGTCTAAGAATCTTCCAGTGACTCAGGTAAACATCCCTGGACTGATCTGCTCAGTAATCTTTTCCGGCCATCATACTTCTTGTAAGTAGGTCTCAACTAAAATTTCAAAGGAAAAATAACTTGAGAAATGGATTGTGTTTAAGGGAAACTGAAAAGAAAATGACACAAAAAAATGCTTATTTGGGTGAAAAGAAAACAAAATCAACGGGTTAGGTCATGTGGACAAACGACTGTGGTGCATGCAGACATCACGTTTAGAAGGATCTAAGATTCAAGCACCACTTCCAAATATACTAGTTTGTGTTTCCTAAAAATCTGATGCCTCAATTAACAATGCCACTTTTTCTACTTTTTCACAGATAAGAATAGTCTCTCCAATTTTTTTAAATAAAATATGTTCCTTAAAAAAATTAACACTCTTTTTTTTTTTTTTTTGAGACAGAGTCTCACTTTGTTGCCCAGGCTAGAGTGAGTGCCGTGGCATCAGCCTAGCTCACAGCAACCTCACACTCCTGGGCTCAAGCAATCCTTCTGTCTCAGCCTCCTGAGTAGCTGGGACTACAGGCATGCGCCACCATGCCCGGCTAATTTCATATATATATATATATATTAGTTGGCCAATTAATTTATTTTATTTATAGTAGAGACGGAGTCTTGCTCTTGCTCAGGCTGGTTTCGAACTCCTGACCTCGAGCAGAGTGCTAGGATTACAGGCGTGAGCCACCGCGCCAGGCCAACACTCTTGAGATTTTAAATTTTCTCTACAACTGGAAGGAATTGTAATTAGGATATCTGACCTTACACATTGCAAAGCTGAGAGTCACGATATCCACAAAAGAAAAAATGGTAATAAAAAATATACTTTCTTAATCCTAGTAAGGACAAGCACTTAATAATTCCTTCCAAATATAAAATGTTACTAATTTAATATCAATGAATGCTCAACAAATGCTGACTACTGGCAGTATTTTTTTTTTTTTTTTGAGACAGAGTCTCACTCTGTCACCTGGGCTAGAGTGCCGTGGCATCATCATAGGTCACTGCAACCTCCAACTCCTAGGCTCAAGTAATCCTTCTGCCGCAGCCTCCCAACTAGCTGGGACTATAGGTGCCCACCACCATGCCTGGCTAATTTTTTCTATTTTTGGTAGAGATGAAGTTTCATTCCTGCTCAGGCTGGTCTTGATCCTCCCTCCTGGGCCTTAGTGGCACTATTATTAATAGGACATACATTTGGAGCTGCTTTCCCAGTCACAGTAAAGGGCCTGACTAATCTCCGCACATCATGTCGTTTCTAGTCATCACTGGTAGGGATAAGCGCAGTGTGTAGCCATGACAAAGGATGGACCTCATCACGTGGAGGGAGAGACACACCACCCCCTCAGCCTTCCAAGAACTGTATGTTTGAAATTTCGCATAATAAAAGTTAGAACATGGGGCAAGGGGAGAAAAAAAAAAGTTAGAACAACAACAGAAAGCTATTTCATTGTTCCTAGAACATATTGCATATATTTGTATTACTAATAACCCTCTTCTTAACATCTTGCCTCTGAAAAAGAACCAGTGAGGCCCTAAGTTGACCATTAAAAACGCTGTGCTTGCACAAAGGTAACTTTCTGAAAATAAGCAGCATTTAGTGGCCACAGATCAGTATATTACATCCCAATAGAAGAACCCAGGAGTGTAAGGGGCCTCAGAGCTATGAGTCCTCAAATTCAACTGCACATACATGATTTTGCAATGGTTGAATATTCAAATTACCCCAATATCCTACTGAGTATATAAAACGTTGTAAGCATGAATGTGCACGAAAACTTATCTATAGGATGTTCATCACAGAGCTGTTCTAATAGCAGAAACTAAAAACAATCACATGTCCCATGGCAGGAAAGGGGTTAATTATAATTCATCTACACTATGTATACTACTTATCCACTTAAAATGAGGTTGGGGGGATAAAAAAATGATAGGAAAATGTACACAATATGTTAAGTGAAAGTTTGAGACAAAGTATGTAAAGAACAATGTCATTTCTGTTAAAAAAGAAAAAGTTTGCACAGAAAAAAGACCAAGTATGCATACCAAAACTATAATAATTCATTTCTTTAGGTGGGGAATTATAAATGATTTTATCTTCTTTTTTGTGCATTTATGTGTTTTGTAATTTTTCTACAATAAAGACAGAGGTTTATAACCCCTTATTTATAATTCAGAAATCCAAAAAGCTCTGAAAATATATTCTTGTAAGTTAGTGGCAAACTTGTTTAACTGCAAAACTTGACCCCAAGTGATATGAAGCTGCTTCATATTTATCCCATTTAGTGTGAATATTTACAGATTTCACTAAAGACATATAATGTTACAGAGTGTTGCCAGAATCCCACTGGGGGCTCACTATCACTCTCCAACAACCCCAAAATTATGGATTTCAAAATATCTCTGGTCCCAAGGTTTCAAACAAAGGATTGTGGACCTATATTGGTTTGTAACTTTGCCACTATCATTATTTTTTAGGCTTTTAAAAATGGGACTCTTCATACTTGAAAAGGTTGGGAGCCTCTACTATAAATTAATATAAATTTTAAAATGGCAACAATAATAAAAATACATCCTTAACAAACAAGATCATCATTCTCATTCATCAAGGGTGGCAAGCATCTGGCTCCCATCAGATGATTCTAGAAGCCAAGGTTTACCAAGCCCTTGGCATGTGCAGGCATTATATGCCTTACATACTTTAGCTCATTTCATGCTGCTTAAGAAGGTAGGTACCATTGCAGGCCCATTGCACATATGAAGACACAGAGGCTCAGAGAAGTTTACTTAACTTGCCTAAAAGTCATAGGCAGAACTGGGTTAAAGCCTGACCCTTAGCAGCCATGCTATACGCTCACCACCTAAGTCAGCAGGCAGTTCTGCTTCCTGGATCACCTCCACCATTTTTAATAGTAGTAATAACATCACAAGCAGATACAACTGACTTGTTTTAAAAATTCTTTTTTGATTTGTAAACTAAATGAACTTGATCTACAAATTACTGAGAAAGGATAAATATGAAGCCATACCATGTAATTTCTAGTATTACTACCATTAACTCTAACCACACCAAAGTTATTTGAAGATGTTCTATGAATGTAACATATTATACAATATAATTTTCTATACCACAGAAAAATCTCTTGGTAATCTTTTGGAAATCAGTGTGGGAAACATTTTCTGAGGGCGTGCCAAAAAAGAGACTAAGTTCCTACCCACAGAAGAGGCTGAATTTTCCAAGAACAAACTCCCCACTGTCTACTTGTGGGGTTTCCTTGGTGTCTCTGGACTACAAAACCTAGTAATTTACTTTCCCTACTGAAGACTAAGGCAGAAATAGCCTGGACTTCCTTTTTGCAAACCAAAATTCACAGCTGTTTGGGGTGAACGAACCAAGGGGGAAATTTTTTTCTGGCCAAGGATGCAACTTTCACTGGGACAACAACCTCCTATAACAAGTGAACATGCTGAAGCAGACTGGATACAAATCAAATTCTTCAGTTCACAAAATTGTTTCTCACTGTTTCCTTGTCCCTAATTTTGTAACTAAGACAATAAAAACTGAACTTCAATTGAATTCAGAAATACGGAGACCACTGACTTATTAAACTCCTATAAATTATCTTTTATTTTTTTTTATTTTTTTTTAATTATCTTTTATTATAAGTAGATGTCCCACTCAGTTTAAGATTAGGCACTCTGTAGATTTTTAGATACAAAGTAACCACCACAGAAGTAATTTTCAGGCATGTCACCTTTTTTTGTTTCATTTTGTTTTTTAACAGGGGAACCACATTCTGCTTTAGAGAAATCAAAAATGTACGTATACCAATTTCAAACTAAAGGAACAGTGTTACTAGCCCAACAAAATCATACTTAAAAGGATTATTTTAAGAAGTTCTTGAAAAACTCTTTTTAATTAATTAAGGTATTTTAGTGGAAGACCCAGAAAACTGATATTCTAGTATATTTTGTTTTTGTTTTTGCATACTCTTAGAAGAGCAGGAACTTAGATCAGACAAGTCCATGAGATCCTGTTTCCAGGCCCTTTCATTCTACAATCCTTATATGGTCAATGTTGTTCTCTTCCTTAGCATGTTAAAGTCATTTTGCTCAAAAGAGACACTTTCAAAAGAAACCTGGTATGGTAGAGGGCAAAAGTAAAAGGGTCAGCATGAGAATTCTGGGAGTGAATAAAGGATCATTTCAGTAGAACAGTTATACTAACCACTCTTGAAAAAAAAATGTCTACCTGGGCATGGTGGCTTGAGCCTATAGTGTCAGTTACTTGAAAGGCTGAGGCAGGAGGATCAGCAGAACCCAAGAATCTGAGGCTAGCCTGGGCAGCATAGCAAGACTCCTTGTCTAAAAACAAAAATTGTCATATCTTCTGATTTGGGAGAATCTGTTATTGTCCTCAAAATGAGGTCCATTTTTCAAAAACTTTCCTTCTTCATTCCTTATTTCAGAATGTCTTCATGTCTTGGGAAATTCATGTCTGTTTTGGGACAGTCTTCTTTTTCTTTTTACAAAATGGCAGAGTAAAAACTAGCCTATACCCACATTTATTGCTACTGTCTATAAATTTTCAGATTTCTCCAGCAAGCTTCCCTGACTTCCTCTTTTCTTATTCTTCTCATTCTTGAGAAATTAAGTATAGAATGTTCCTAAACCATGACACAATCTCCTCCACAGCTGTGATCTTTGGTTTACTTTCTCTATGCTTCTGAAGCCTGAGGAGTTCACTTTACCTTTTATTCACATACATCAGTATTTAGTCCAAAATTCAATATGTAGTTTTAAACTATTATACAATCAGTTTTCTTTTAACATTTCCTTTTCTTGGATCTTTTGGCCTTTTAATTGATAGAATTCACTTTTAACCCAAATCTTACTGGATTCTCACACAGAATTTGCTTTCCTAGAAATCAATCGATAGTTTCACTCTAACTTTAAACATAGCAAACTCTCTATTACATGAGAGTTTGAGTGTGCCTGCTATGAGCCCAGAGCTAAAAAATACCATAAGCTAAGAAATTTAATATAGGGCCTATGCCAAGCTCCCAAGCTACAGACTCAAGACATGCATCCATTAAACAATTAGAAAATGAGACGGTACAATCCATGCAACTCAGAAGCTCTGTAAGACCAGACATTTTGGATAACTATGCTTTCTAGATAATCTATTGCTTATCTCTTTAAGTAACAAAAATTACATTTGAATCATTTTGGACAGAAAACTACAACATTTATATTTTTCCCACTTTCATTAACAAGCTATATTGAACATGATTTAATCTTTATTTGATGGCCAAAAGGAATAATAAACATAAATTATAGCACTAAGATATAGTACAATGATGCTTGGGGCCTACTTAGATGTGTAGGGCTATATATATCTGTGTTAATAGCTTCAAATTAGATAAATCATGCTAGATTCATATGCTTTTTTATCTCTTTTTTGTCAATCTGTCACGCAGACATATCATACTACTATAAACTATGCGAAGAAACAGACCATGTATAAAGAGAGGGGCTAATTCTGATGGAGTACCTATAATATGCCGGGTCTAAGATAAATTTTACAGTTCATCTAGCAATCACTTGGCCTGGCACAAAGTAGATGGTGGGTACACATTTGGTAAATTAATGACATTCACGTGCCTGCCTGAGTAGGTCCTCTCCCTTATATACTGTTTCTAATTTGCCATGGCTTGGAAAACAGATCCCCAAACATGAAAGAACACATTTAAAGTGTGTCTGGCATGGTACTTTACACAGAGCAGGTGCATGGCAAAATTGTATGTGCTGAACTGAGGATGGCTAACATTGAGCACTTACAATATGCCAGGAATTATAGTAAGTTCCTTACACACATTATCTAAGATAATACCTATAAGGTAGATAATATTATCACCATATTACAGATGCAGAAATTGAGGATCAAAGTGGTTCACTTGAATAACATCAAGTAGCTAGTCAATGTTGGTGGCAGAATGTGAGTCAAGTAGTCTGACTTGGAAATGAGTAGTCTTAAGTATAACGCTATACTGTCTCTGTATAAGGGAAGTGGCAAGAAGACGAAGTTTATAACAACTTTTTTTCCAGTAGACGTCTTCTTTGCTGTCTTTCTGATGCTCAGGTATAATCTCAACAGGTGAGTGTTACTATTATATATGTAAATATTACTGACAGGCCAAAGTGATAAACTGTGAAAGCTAGGCAAGAAAAGTACACTACAGACGATATGTCCCAAAGAAGTAGAAGCTTGAGAGATCTGTGTGTATTAGGGTCATCAAGAAGGGCTTTAAGAAGTTAAGACCTAAGCCCAAGCAGTATAAGAGATAAGTGATGGCATGAGGGGAAAGAGACATATTGTGGCTTAAGAATAAGCATGAAGCCTTCGTGGAATTGCGGGGGGAGGGTGGTGATCATAAATAGATAGACAAACAAACATGTGGCATGGAGCATTTATACCCAATGCAGCTGTAAGCTCCTATTCCTGCCAGCTTTACTTCATCACCCAAACACCTGGACAAAGGCAGGTTGCAGATGCCAGTACAAGGGGGTGGGTAGGATATGGCAGCTAATATAAAGGCCAAATCTGAAGCTATGATCCCACAGCGCTCATTAAATAATCTAGAGTCTTTAGCAGGAAAGGGGTTGGGGACACAGGGGACCTACCTTCTACTATTTCCAAATGGAAAAAGAGAGAATATGCTGGCCTAGGAATGGTCTCACTTGCTCCAAAATCTATCTTTCACTAGGTTTAACCAGAGTCACCCCTAATTAATGACACACCTAGTGTAACTAGTGCCTGCAGATCCTCCCTGGCCCCAGGAGTCACAGGAATGAGAGTCTGGAGAAGGTCTTAGGCATCTACCCTTTCTACAGCAGACACAGGAACAAGTCAGAAACAGCTCTCTAACTCCGGGGAATGAAGACACCACCCACGCTTCATGGCAGAGACCGGACACATCAACAGGAGGCCAAAAGTAAAAACACTGTGCTCAACAGATTTCCTAGTCTTACTAACTCTGTGGTAGTTAAATCCTCAGAAAAATTTCAATAGTCTCTGAGTGAGAGCATTAATAATAATTTGACCTATACTTCAAGGAGGGAGATATGTGAAAGTTACTCACTTAAGCAGGATATGCCAGGGGTTAAGATATCTCTGGAAAATCTCCAAATACTACCTCATCAACTCATTAGAGACAGAGGCATCTCCAAACTTGTATGGTCTTTCCCTCTCAGACATCAGAACTGCATAGTGCCAAAGTAATCCAGGTATGATTCAAAACCCAATTCATGTATTCAATGTACATTTATTGAACACCTGTAGTCATCAGGAACTGACCTGGGGACTGGAAACATAAACATGAGAAAGACTGTCACTCTGCTAGATGGAAGTGTACCCATTCATAATTGTTTACCTTTCTCATACCTAACCACTCAAGAGTCCAGGCAGGAAGTTCTTCTAGTGCCCCACAAACACCAAATAAGTCTGCTTTCTCACTTCTGTGCCTCTGATCATGGGATGTCCACTGGAATATTCCCACCATACTTCATCTACCCAAATCCTCACATTCTTCAAGGCCAGCTTAAGTCCTCCACCTTCTGGAAACCCTGACCTCCATCCAATCCCTAAATGATGTCTCTGTTCTCTGAACTATTAAAATTACAGCAAGTATCACCATCAGTCTATTTAGACATTTTTTAAATTCATAAGCACATCAGACCTGCAAACTTAATTGCAGCCACTATTGGAAAATGAAAATTTTTTAAAAAAAAGAAAACAAAGAAAGAGAAATTTATCATTCTCTAATTGATACAAATCTTGAGTACCTACAATGAGCCAGTGTTGTTCAAGGAGCTGGAGAAACAGCAGCAAATAGTACCAGTTTTTGCTCCTGGGAAGGGTTCCTCACTTATACATCTTCCTATAAAGACTTGGGTTGGCTCTCAGTGCTTAAGACCTAACAATTTATTAAAGCTTCATGTTTCTTTGGTCAAAGTTCAAATTGAAATTATATAAAGTAATGGGGAACAAAAGCTAACGAAGCCATTTCTAAATGAACTTCCACTTCTTAAAAACCTCAAAAGAACAAGGAAGGAAAAGAAAACAGGCTATGAAAACACTGCTGAACCAACACATTTACTCACACTGACAAAGCACCTCCAATCCTCCTTCCAAGCCACACAAAAAGTGATCTTTCCCCTCAATCCTTACAGCCCCAGATTCAAGTGTTTAACAATAGACCTTGGGAAAGTTTAAAGCATCCCTCAGTTTCCTAAATAAGTCTTTCTAAACCTTTATTTCCTAATGAATAAGCCCCCTGATGAATATCCAATGAGATTCACTTAAAGAATCTACAATTTGAGCTTCAAGCACAAGAGAGACTCAAAGAGGAACACCTTGATAAATCCAGAGACAATTTTAATACAAACAAAAGCCAAATCCTGCAGAGCTTGGTGGAAGGTTCCAAGTTCCTAAGAGAAGGGAATCAACAGAGATTCTGCAAGGCGTCAGAGTTTCTGCAGGAGGTGAGGGAGATTTTATACGTATTTGTAAAATGTATATATTTGCTCTAAAGTGGCTTTGGTGAGATACGACAGCTGGCACCCTAGAGCGAGCGAGGGTGAAGCCGGGCTGTGCCATGCGGCGAAGGCTGCCACCTGGGCACTCCCACCATTCTTCGCAGCAGTGTCAGGAGACTAGGAGAGTGCGGCGCCGCGCGGACCCGAACCCGCGCCGCCTCCGGCTCCCCGCCCCGCGGGCGCCTGCCCGCTCCCTGGGGCACGCCACAAGCCCACCCTGCCCCGGTCTCAGGAGCCCGGACCTCTCAGGGGACCCAAGAGACGGCGGGGTGGAGGGGGTCTCCAGGCAGCGGCCCAGCGCCGACGCGTACCCACCTGAGCAGACTGGAGAGGGGGTGGCTGGAAGAGCCGAGGCCGCCGCCGCCACTGCCGCCGCCCCCCGAGCCGCCGCCGCCGCCGCCCCCGAAGCCTGAGGAGAGCCGCTTCCCGGACAGCAGCTTCTCCACAGCCGGGAGGTGCCCGGTGCGGGCCGCCTCCAACAGCTCCTGCTCCTTCCCCATCCCCAGGGCCGCCGCCCTCTGGACCCCCTCCCCGGGGCTGCAGCCAAGCCTGCTCCGGCTCCCAAACTTTCCGTCTCCGGGCAACGCACCCCCCAAACCGGCCGGGGACACCACCCCCTCCCCCCCGGCCTTTCCCCCCACGATCGCGTCACTTCCGGGATCTGGCGTCGCGCGTCACCGCGCCCCGCCCCCTTGCCCACCTAGCTGGGCGGGGCTCCGCAGACCAGCGCAGGTGGACCTGGCAGTGCCGAGACAGGTCTGTAGGGGGTAAAGGGGCACTGCCGTGTGGGCCCCCCATTGTACAAGTGGAAGGGGACAAACAGAGCCCACCTGTACGCGCCTTCCGACGTGCGCTCCTTCTCCAAAGGTTTTGAGAGCTCGTGGGACAGGAAATACGGTAATGCGTCCAGGCGGTGCAGAAACAAAGAGAGAAATGTGGTAACACGCACCTAAATTTCCAAGTCCCTCCTTTCAGCATGCAAAATCAAATATGTAATAGGTGTGGGCACCTAGTGATACAGAGGTGAATAAAACGCCCTCCTCGTACCGCAATGAGAGAAGAGAGGAAAATTTTAAAATAGAAATATCCTCGCCACTTTGTCATCCCAGTTAAAGAAATGGCTCGTTAAAGAAAAACATGCAAAGGAGAGACCTCCCTCTCTGTAGGTTTCTTCTTAGATTTGATAAGATTACCAAACTAATATAAAAAAGTCAGGTTTATGAAAGCAACCCCAATCTTGAGTACTGCTGAACTGGAAAAATTATTTAATTGGTTAGAAACTATGTCTGTTTTGTTCCCTGGTACTAGAACTGCTCCTAAGTCGAAGTAGGTGAGCAATAGTTGTGGAGTCGATGAATGAACTGGATACATTATGCTCAAGCTATATAATTTTTTAAAGGTTCTTGCGGAATAGACGGGAAATGCTGGCAATTCAGTATAAACACAGGCCCTCGGTCTCTGTCTAGTTGAAATATACAAGGTTGAGACCCTGCCTGAAAGTTTACTAATCCCAGATAGCCGCATTCCACGACACTGGCATTCAACGGAACTGAGTTTTCTCCCCTGTCCCCCAACTTTTGTCTGAGAAACGGGTTAAGGAGGGGTTAACTGACATTGCATTTTTAGAAAGGCAGAAAGGGAAAATAAGTCCTTTAGTCAACAAAACCCTGCTCCTTAACAAATGCTATTTCCAGGGCAGGAGGATCCACAATCTGAAATTCGCACGCCCAATTTTCCCTCTCTCCAACGTTACCAAACCAAAGTTAAAACGAAACCCTCAAGTCCGCTGCGCGCTCCACAAAATGGCCCCTCCGAGGAGCGGTAGGGGCTATGTCATCACTGAGCGACGGCGGGAAATAAGCTCCTGGCCTGCTGTGCAGTTCGGAATCACGGAGCTTGCACATCTGACATCGCTGTAATCTCCTCTCCCAGCCTATCCTGTCCGACATGGACAATCCCCGCGAGTCGCCCACGGACAAAGGTGGAGAGACAGGAGAGCCAGATGAAACGGTCACTGCTCCCGAGGACCCGGGGGCTACCGATACGGACGGGATCCCACAGGAAACGGACGGAGACGGAGAAGGGGCCTTGAAAGAAGTTGCAGTGGAGGAAGGCGAGGTAGGAAGAGATGTGTTGATGAGGAATACACCGAGATTGTGTTATTGGATGCTTTCTGGGCTTCCTGATTAGTCCTTTCCAAGCTTTGAGAATTCGAACTCATCACGACTCTCTCTAGATCTGAAATCTCGAACGGGTAGGGAGGGGACAACAAAACAGAACTCTACTGCTAGTTCGGTTCCAGAGACCCAAGCACTAGGTTAATATTTTCAATTATTCCCTCTATGTACTAAAGCTACTTCTAGGGAGTTTTAAGTAGCTTTTTGGTTTTCCTGGTGAGGAAACTGGAAGTGCAGTGTCACACTGAGATGCGCGCGCACACACACATATCACATTTTCATCCACTCATGAATTGATGGACACTTAGGTTGATTCCACATCTTTGCAACTGTGAATTGTGTTGTGATAAACATTCGAGTGCAGGTATCTTCTTGATAAAATGACTTCTTTTCCTTTGGGTAGCTGCCCAGCAGTGTGATTGCTGGATCGAATGATAGCTCTACATTTATTTCTTTTAGGGATCTCCACACTGTATTCCTTAGAGATTGTACTAATTTGCAATCCCACCAACAGTGTATAAGCTTTCCTTTCTCTCTGCATCCACGCCAGCATCTATTGGGAAAAACATAAGTTCTTTTTTTTTTTTTTTTTTTTTGAGACAAAGTCTCACTTTGTTGCCCAGGCTAAAGTGAGTGCCCTGGTGTCAGCCTAGCTCACAGCAACCTCAAACTCCTGGGCTCAAGGGATCCTTCTGCCTCAGCCTCCCGAGTAGCTGGGACTACAGGCATGTGCCACCATGCCCGCCTAATCTTTTCTAAATATATTAGTTGGCCAATTAATTTCTTTTTATTTATAGTAGAGATGGGGTCTCGCTCTTGCTCAGGCTGGTTTCAAACTCCTGACCTTGAGCAATCCGCCCGCCTAGGCCTCCCAGAGTGCTAGGATTATGTAAAGGCATGAGCCACCAAGCCCGGCCATAAATTCTTAAAAGTAGAAATTATAACAGGCCACATCAAATTCTATGGGATTTAACTAAAGCCTTATTTAGAAAAAAGATTCATAGCCTTACATATTTTTTTAACAAAGAGAAGATATTGAAAATAAGCACTCAACTCAGGAAACCAGAAAAAGAACAAAAGAAACTAGAAGAGTATAGGAACAAGTAATTAATAAGGATAAAAGTAGATACTAATGAATCCGTGCTTAAAAAAATAAGAAATGATCAAATTAAGAACTGATTATATGAAATGTAAATATGCACATTACAAAATAGGAAAATAGACACTTATGTGGAGATCTTCAAAGTTACAAGAATATTTAATGTTCAAGTTTAGACCAAATAAATATGAAAATCTAAGAAAAATGAATGACTTTTTAGGAGAATATAAATCACCAAAACTGAAGCATAAACAGATTAGAAAACTTGTATAAATTAGTAGCTAGAAAGAAACTAAAAAGATTGTCAAAGATACACTACCTTCACTCCCACCTACTCCCCATATTCCTGTATGAGTTTAAATCTGAATTACTCTTTAAGGAAAACAAATCTCATTAATGAGTTTTATAGTATAGTTATGATTCCATGTTAAGTTGGAGGGGATAAAGTTTGGATTGGATTTTTATTGTTATTAAACAGACATTTATTAAACATTTACCATGAGTAAAACTGTGTTAATTGCTGATGGAGGAGAAATAGAAATAAGAGACAAATGTATCTTCAAAAAATTTTCAGTCTAATGGGAAATATTTGCATGATACAGTAGGATTAAAGGATAAGAAGAAAAGAGCACTACATGTGAGAAACTCACTTAAAAGTTCCAAATTGAATGAAACACCATTTTGATGAGAATGGGCCTTCTTTCCACGTGAAATCATCAGTGAAGAGACCTATAGATCTGGGGGCAGAATAGCTGGCTGGCTGGAGAGGATTTTGCTGACATCCCCTCTACAGACTGAGATCAGAAGAGTGGGCCCACGTGGAGAGTGGTTTTCATGATCCTTGGCATTTCATTGCCCTTGTAAACAGATACTGGATTTATAATCATAGCAGAACTGGAAAACTGGATTATTTGGCAGGTTTTCTTTCCACAGCTGAACTATAATCTTCCTTTAGGAGAGAGATTGTATCTTACACTTGCCTACAACCGAAAGACTATTTAATAAATGGATTTGTTGTTTTGTAATTAGGATGATGTCTTTATACCTAGCCCATGACTAGAAAGTAGGCCAAATATATAATAGGGTTTCTTTCATCTTCCCAGCTCAAGAGTCAGGATGTCTCAGATTTAACAGCAGTTGAAAGAGAAGACTCATCATTACTTACTCCTGCAGCCAAAAAACTGAAAATAGATACCAAAGAAAAGAAAGAAAAGAAGCAGAAAGTGGATGAAGATGAGATTCAGAAAATGCAGTAAGTCACTTTCTTACCATTCTCCATTTCAAGGCTCTAACTTGACCACACAAATTTAATAAAATTTTCTTGGCCTTTAAAATATTATTCTTTTTTTTTTCTTTGAGACAGAGTCTTGCTTTGTTGCCCAGGCTAGAGTGAGTGCCGTGGCATCAGCCTAGTTCACAGCAACCTCAAACTCCTGGGCTCAAATAATCCTCTGCCTCAGCCTCCCGAGTAGCTGAGACTACAGGCATGTGCCACCATTCCCGGCTAATTTTTTTCTATATATATTAGTTGGCCAATTAATTTCTATTTATAGTAGAGACGGGGTCTCGCTCTTGCTCAGGCTGGTTTTGAACTCCTGACCTCGAGTAATCGTCCCGCCTTGGCCTCCCAGAGTGCTAGGATTACAGGTGTGAGCCACCGCACCCGGCCAAAATATTATTCTTTTTAAACTCAAAAGAAAATAAAGCAGTTAATACATTATGTTGTAGCATAGAAAATATAAACAGATAAAAAGAAAAAATATCACCTCACCACCAAGAGATACACACTGCTAATATTTTGATGTATATTCTCCAAGATATTTTCTATACATTTACAAATAAAATTAAATGATTTTTTTCAAAAATGTCAAATACTGTTTTGTTTTTGTTTTTGAGACAGAGTCTTGCTCTGTCGCCCTGGCTGGAGTACAGTGACATCATCATAGCTTATTGAAACCTCAACTCCTAGGCTCAGGTGATCCTCCTGGCTCACCCTTCTGAGTAGCTGGGGCTACAGGCCCACACCACCATGCCTGGCTAATTTTCTATTTTCTGTAGAGACGGGGATCTCACTGTGTTGCTTAGGCTGGTCTCAATCTCCTGGCCTCAAGTGATCCTCCGGCCTTGGCCTCCCAGAATGCAGGATTATAGGCATGAGTCACTGGGCCTGGCCCTTTATGATATTTTCTGATTACAAAAGTAGTATGGGGCCGGGCGCTGTGGCTCACGCCTGTAATCCTAGCTCTTGGGAGGCCGAGGCGGGCGGATTGCTCAAGGTCAGGAGTTCAAAACCAGCCTGAGCAAGAGCGAGACCCCGTCTCTACTATAAATAGAAAGAAATTAATTGGCCAACTGATATATATATAAAAAATTAGCCGGGCATGGTGGCGCGTGCCTGTAGTCCCAGCTACTCGGGAGGCTGAGGCAGAAGGATCGCTGGAGCCCAGGAGTTTGAGGTTGCTGTGAGCTAGGCTGACGCCACGGCACTCACTCTAGCCTGGGCAACAAAGCGAGACTCTGTCTCAAAAAAAAAAAAAAAAAAAAAGTAGTATGGGCTCATTGCAAATAATTCAGAGAATACAGAAAAATAGAAAAACTTACCCATAAACCCACCACCCAGAGTTTACCCTAAGTATATATATTTGGGTATATATCTTTTCAAAAATTCTTTAGATGTTTGATATGTATAGCTAAATATTTTCATCTCAGTAAATATGCCCATAAATAATTTTTAATGGCTACATTATATCCCATTACCAGGATTAACTATAATTTAACCAATCCCTACAGCTATTCTGGTTGGATTTTTTTTTCTTTTTACAAAATTATGATGAGTATCTTTGGGGACATCTTTGCATACTTGTTCATTACTTCCTAAGATAAACTCCTATAAGTGTAATTGCTAGTTCAAACAATATGAACACTTTCAAAGGCTTTTCATACATATTTTCAAATTCCTCTCCAGAAAGCTATTACAGTTCACCCCCTGCCAACATGTATGCATTTGTGTCCCCACATTGTCACTAATACTGTTCCTTTTTAGATTATCTGATTCAGGCTGGGCGCAGTGGCTCACGCCTGTAATCCTAGCTCTCTGGGAGGCCGAGGCGGGCGGATTGCTCAAGGTCAGGAGTTCAAAACCAGCCTGAGCAAGAGCGAGACCCCGTCTCTACTATAAATAGAAAGAAACTAATTGGCCAACTGATATATATATAAAAAATTAGCCGGGCATGGTGGCGCGTGCCTGTAGTCCCAGCTACTCGGGAGGCTGAGACAGAAGGATCGCTGGAGCCCAGGAGTTTGAGGTTGCTGTGAGCTAGGCTGACGCCACGGCACTCACTCTAGCCTGGGCAACAAATCGAGACTCTGTCTCAAAAAAAAAAAAAAAAGTAAAAAGTAGATTATCTGATTCATGAAAAATGTTACCTTGTTTTAGTTTATGATTTCCTTAGTTAATAATGAAAGGTAATTTTTTTCATCTATATTGATTGACCATTGGTATTTTTGTAAATTTCCTGTTCATGTTCTTTGCTCATCTTCTCAAATTGATATGGCCATCTTTTTTATTTGAAATAATTAATTTTAAGATTAGCTTTTTTCCATATATTTTGCAAATATTTTCCCCCTAAATCTATTAATGTTGAAAATAATGTTTGAATATAAATTTATATATTACATTTTTACCATCAAGGTGAAATGCAGTAAGGTATAGTTATAGAGAAGACAGCCTAATGCTGAAAACACAGGCTATATAGTATGATACAGTAACTCAATATTGTTGTCTAAGTTTTTGTTCTTAATAAGTAAGGAAGTGGTATTTCACTTTTTCTCAAGTTCCCTTAGAGTAGAAATGTTGTTTTATCTCCATTCCTCATAAGCACCAAAGGACATTAACTTTCTTATGAATCTATTTTTTAATTATATGAGACTTGTTTTATTGACTTAATAATGTATCTTTGAGTATTCATTCTGATAAGCCAACTTAATTACCTGAATCTTTGTTTAGAATCCTGGTTTCTTCTTTTTCTGAGGAGCAGCTGAACCGTTATGAAATGTATCGCCGGTCAGCTTTCCCTAAGGCAGCCATTAAAAGGGTAAGGGTGAACCACCACACTCACTATATTACTATCATATATTAGAGTAAACCAGATTCAAGCTACGTCTATTGGTATTTTGAAGTGAGTATTAGGCAAGTTGGTTTATTATTTAGCCAAGAAAATAAAAATAACATGCCCTCCAATTATCTAACCAATTTTAGTTTTATATGCTAGGTATAGGGTCTCAACATATAGAGTAAGTCACGACATACTTGAATCCCCGTTTTAATAGTTTCAATTTCAGCATCCAGCCTTTAGTAAACACTTTTTCTGTGCAAAGCTCATTTATTGGTACTATGTTCCAAAGCTAGTCTTTGACTATCTTAATCACAGTCTTTGTCCTTCTTTCAAGCTGATCCAGTCCATCACTGGCACCTCTGTGTCTCAGAATGTTGTTATTGCTATGTCTGGCATTTCCAAGGTTTTCGTCGGGGAAGTAGTAGAAGAAGGTGAGTAGTGTTGGTTACAAATACTGGATATACCTGTAGTGGTCTTATTTTTAAGAATATCTATACTACAGAACTTATTAAAGCACCTATGGGAGTTTCCATTTGCACTAGAAGTTGACCAAGTAGGTAGTCTTGTACTCAGGACAGCATGACCATTATTCCTGGAAAATTTCAATATTGGCAGGCAAGAACCCATCCGGGAAATACCCCTCCCTGATTCCTGTCCTCAGCCCAGGGTAAGAGCAGCAGACTTTGTATATTCTCCAGTGAACTTTGCTAATTTCTACTGCCAAAAGTAAAGATAAAGGAAAAGCAATCACTGGGGCTGACCTATGTGGTATGGTGAGTTGTCCCTGATGTTGTGACCCCTGGGAACTGCCCCCTCTATTTACTAAAAAGCCTGGCTGCTTCCCATTGCTAATCTCTAAATGATAAAATCTTTTATTTTTTTAAGCAAATTTGTTTTAAACTGTTGCCTATGATAAAGCCTGAGATATTATACTAAAGCTAACATGATATATTTTATAGCATTCACTTAAAAAGGAAAAGTGTCTTGGTTTATTTTCTTAGCAAGCTTACAGGTTAATGAGAATTATAGGACTTAAAAGGATTATGTGATGGATAAGTTATGGTGTGATAATGAAACTTTCTCTTTGTCCTGTTTAGCACTGGATGTGTGTGAGAAGTGGGGAGAAATGCCACCGCTACAACCCAAACACATGAGGGAGGCTGTCCGAAGGTTAAAGTCAAAGGGACAAATCCCCAACTCAAAGCACAAAAAAATTATCTTCTTCTAGACCAAAGTCTAGAAAGGCCTATTACTGACAAAAGTGCTGGTTCCAGACTTCCTATTAAATGAGACTTTCTGCACTAGTGCTTTAGTATCTCAGTACTCCAAGGATTCCATAAACATTTTAATGTCTTTCTCAGAACTCTAATATTTGCACATCTAGAAGGCATGCAGCCTGTTTCATATTTATTTTCACTAATTTTGGGATCTCTGAGGGCATTTTGAGATTTTTATCTCTTGGCTAGCTGAAAGAAAGGTACATGGGCCTTAAGCATCTTCTGGACAGGAGAGCTTCTTTCAGAGACAGAAAACCTTTCCAAGAGTGCTTTGATGGTTTCACATTGAAGCCTAAAGTTGCTAAGACAGGTTCTTTTTTATGTCTGGTTTTAAGTAGATGAAACCACCAGAAACTTTTAACTTGTGATACTCTACCAGGAAGGACATGGTGATGGCAGCAGTAGTAGAATAATTTGTGCTTGTAAGCTTTTAGGGTTCTCCTGTGGATTTTAGTGAGTGATCATTAAACGGTTTTCCAACTTGCCATATGTGTATTCATTTTCTCTCTAGCTGGTTGGAATAGAGAGAAGTACATTATGCTTTCTGGTGTCCCAGTAAAATTGATCTTGGCTTTTTTGTGAAAATTTGAATAGTAGAACCATTAATTTTTTTTTTTTTTTTTTTTTTTCATAAAAGAGCACTTCATTGGCTAGGCGCAGTGGCTCATGCCTGTAATCCTAGCACTCTGGGAGTCTGAGGCGGGAGGATTGCTTAAGGTTAGGAGTTTGAGACTAGCCTGAGCAAGAGCAAGACCCTGTCTCTACTAAAAATAGAAAGAAATTAATTGGCTAACTAAAAATATATAGAAAAAATTAGCCGGGTGTGGTGGCACATGCCTGTAGTCCCAGCTACTTGGGAGGCTGAGGCAGAAGGATCACTTGAGCCCAAGAGTTTGAGGTTGCAGTGAGCTAGGCTGACACCACGGCACTCTACTCAGGGTTACAGAGTGAGACTCTGTCTCAAAAGAAAAACAAACAAACAAAAAAAAAAACCCACTTCATTAAAGTCACAAGTTATACAGAAAATAAATGAAATTAAAACTAGCACTTTAAGCACAGTAAAAGCCCATGTATTTCAGATTCCTATAAACAGACATACCACAACCAATTTTGTTTAATATGTTTAATTTGCTTTTTTTTCAGATGGTTCACAGAACCAGTACACTCAGAGTTTGATTAGATATTGCAACATTAAAGTTTCCCCAGTAATGACCAAGATTCAGTTCACTAGATACATTCTCATCGTTTTTTTTTCAAATAGACGGGAAAGGAGTGACCTTTTTTTGACAGTGATTAGCAGTAATAAGGCTACTGTATGTAATTGGCAATCCTCAAGAATTCTTTCATCTCTATCATTCAGTGTCACAGGGAGAAGGGTTTTAAACCTGTTCTCTTTTGAAGCTTTCCTGAGCATCTCTTAGTAAATATTCCAATTTTGTTTTAGCACCCTGAGTGGGGGAAACATCTTGGACTCAGAAAGCTGGGCAAAACTGTCTTATAAAGTATCTTACATTAAAACTCATAGCTCTAAACATGTACTTAACCAATGGAAAAGACACTTGAGTGGGGCACGCCACAAACAAATGCTATAAGACTCAGTCTAAATCATGACCAAAAACTAATAAACTGACAAAAAGAAAATTCTCTCAGCTCTAACAGGAATTTTTTTTTAACAGTTAATGGAACTATACCTATTGCAATTAGAGATATTGAATAAGGCTGAAAGTTAATAAATAATGAAGAAAATCAAATTCTAAGTCTGGCCACTTAGCAAAGCCTCACTGTTAGAGGTTACACAGGAGTGTTTCCCCTTGTGCCGTGGGGAAAGTAATCTCCATTCAATAATAACACTGCTATCTATACCTTCCCAGAGGTGAATAGGAACATTCCTATTCTGGCAGAAGGTGGGGAAACAACTAGGTGAAGGCCTTAGTCTCTGAAAAGACAGTGCATCACGCCAGATTCTCTCTGCAGCTCTTAATAATGACTATGACAAATCACAATGACAGTTTTTACAGATCTCAAATAACCACGTCGTCATACTAGCTTGTGTAGCAAAGTCCAGTTGTTTCCATAGTTTTCTGATTTTACTTTCACTGATTTTAGAAGTTTAGATAAGTATTAAGTGAGAAGAAGAAAAAAATTGCTGGTATAGAAGTTTGGAATGGAAAGTTCTCACATAATTATGGCAATACTTCAAACTATTAATACCTTCTTTCCACTATTCCCCATGCTTTAAGGAGAAACTAATGTCAATGAGTTAAAAGGAAGCATTTAGTTACAGGATGTGAGGGGTGGTGTTTATCCCTTGTATATTCCATACAGAGGGACCATTCTTTTTAGAACCACGGAAAAGGGGGCATAAAGATTGGGGCCCATGGCAAAATGAGGGTCAGACGAAATATATGGTAAAAAGCAGCCATCTTGTGCCTAGAACCCACTCCTGTCTTAAGTTAGGGAAACTAGGTTAATTATCCCAGTGAGTTGAAAACAGAATTTGAGATTGATAGCCTCCCTGCAGCTCAGTTGAAGAGAGGATTTTGACTGTAGTCCATACACACTAAAGCATATCCCTAGTATATCCATGTAAACAGGAAATCTAGACAATCACAGATAATACATAATTGTAAATACTTCACAGCTGAAATGGTAATGTGCAGTGGTTGACGTCTTTGAGCAATAGTGGTGCTATCCCTCCAGACATTTTCTTGAGGTATTGTTATTTCTTGTTGAGAGTCTTGCAGCTGCAAGGCAGAAATTGTAAGTAGTCCCAAAGGGCTGATACTACTATTCTTTCCTTCCATTATTTTCTTTTACAGTTACCCTGAGGACCACCACCAGTTCACATTTCATTACAAAAAGTCTTTCTTCCCCCAATGAACAGAAGTATAAAATTATGTAAGCTGATTTTTACTAAAATCCCATGGAATAATGACCCCTACCACATTTCCTGAGGGATTTCAAAAAACAATGGCCAAAACTGTCACATAAGGAAAACTCGGATATTCTAGGGCTCAATTTGTCACATGGACAAGAGCCCCAGACTCCTTTAGAGAGCCCAGAAAGCTGACTGAGCTCTGGCCATTAAAGGATTAGCCTTGGTACTTGGCAGATATGTTTCTACTGCCTCCCCACCCAAGTATAAGCTTAGGTAAAGGTATACCCAGCAATTCCTGTTAGACATTTTCTTTGGGTGGAAGGATACCAAAGGGATATATGATAGGTGGGGTAGGAAGGGACAGGAGGAGAATCAGAATGTGATTTTAAACCAATTCAGGTGGGCCTAAGGTTGAATAATTCTATTTTCCAGCTATTGGCTCTTCCTTCTTCCCCCTCCAAGAACATTAGAGATGCCGTATTTGAGAGGACAAGTGATTCATTCAGTTCAACATTTGGCCTATTTTAAAGAAGCCCTAAGGAGTAATTTGTGAAGGGATGTAGTTACGCTCTCAGTTGTTTATAATCAAGTAGCCCTACTTTTCTATCATTCCTTCTGGGAGGCCATCACGCAAAGATTCTGCTAGCACCTCTTCTTGGACAATGAACTTGGTAAGTTTCTGATTTGCTATGAGAAGTGCTTTCTTTTACCTAAGGCTATGAGGCAGAGCCCGAAAGCCAGTGCTTCAGGACCAGGTCCTTGCTCTTGATTAGATATTTGATCAAACACTCCTCTCAGCTTTTACCTTTGCAGAATAGAGTCTACATTATAAAGATGTGACCTCACATGGAAGAACCTCAACCCCCTGATAATTTTCACTGTTCTCTAGACCTTTCTACCCTTCACCATATATTTTGTAAATAAGGTCATTAGAAACACACAGATAATGTGGTTAAGACATAACCATGATTTGGTATGACGCATGGAGGGCAGCCAGGCTTGTGCCACAGCAGCACAGTGATCCCTCCTCCCTCTCAGCAATACCTTGGTCTCTTTCCTGAGTTCCAACAGAGCGTGCTGCCATATCAGCTGATAATTCTTCCATATATATGTTATACTTATATGCTGAACTTCACCTGTCACTTCTCTGAGTATTCACAACTCTGCTTGTTATGACCCTTTTGTGGTTTTGTGTTTTTTTTTAATGTCTTCTGATCGACCCCTCACTGCCTGCAAATAGTGACAATTTTATTTCATTGTAAAATCCTACTTTGAGGTCATTTATAAAAAAATCTTTAAGGTTGAACCAAGCAACAACCCTTTGGTAACCTCCCCTGTTAAGATTCTCTCCAAAAAGATGTTTCTTTATTCCTAAGTCACTGTTTCCTAAGCATGACAAATTCCCACAATCTCTCCCAACTGGTGTTTTAAAAATTGCCTTAGTGAAGAAAACTTGACAAAAGTCCTTTAAAAGTCTGAAAAAAATTAGATCTTGTTCCTTCATGAATGCATGTTTCTTTTCATCATCATAAAACTGGAGTAGGTCTTGAGAGGCTGAGGAGAATTACTTGAGCCCAGGAATCCGAGGCTGCAGTGAGCTATGATCGTGCCACTGCACTCCAGCCTGGGTGACAGAGCGAGATCCCATCTCTTAAAAAAACAAACACACACACACTAGAGTTCGCAAGTCAAGCATGATTTCCCATAAAAGAAAACTTTTTAACTTCCCTTCAATAGGTCACATATAATCAAGACTTCAGTGACTTCACTAAATAATTATTTTCCCGTCTTACCATGTAAAGGTGAGTTAGCTAATGAACTTCTGTCCAATCAGCACAGCTTAAAGTTAATCACAGGGCAGGTACAGTTTTGGAGAAGAATTAGATAGGAAAAAAGGGAAAAATCACTTTTATAGGGCATGGGGCAAAACCTAGCTGGGTTGAAGGGTTTGGATTTTTTACTTAAGTCTTAAAGGTACATGATTTTAAAAAGACACAGTGATAGAGGGGAGTGAGAGGCAACAGGTTGAGATGTTAAAGTTTAAAATATTTTCGGCTCCCAAACCATACCAAGTGCTGAGGAGAGCACTGGTAGAAAGTTAGGGCTGGGAAAGCAGATGTGCCAGGGACCCCATGGAGAGGAAGAAATAACCTCTCAGGTACACTTGTGGCAGAATGGCTAGGCTCAGAAGCAAGCTCCCCTCCTGATCTCTACCACATCATACTCTCAACCTCACTCAGAATGAGCAATTTTCTCTTAATTTCAAATAATTTGTGTTATAGAGGGTAAAGATGATATGGCTGAGTCACTATTATTGTTTACTTCCTCCCACAGCATACAATGATGAAAGTATAACAGAAAGGAAGCTTAACTCTGAAAAATCTGATTATAGTATCAGCCAGGATTCTATGAGCTTGGTTCCCTTTCTGAAAAAGGCACAGTCCAGGTCTCCCTTATTCCTGTGCCTCTCCTGCCCTCCTGACCAGGGTCATTTCCTGTTCCACTCCACTACCATGGCCAAAGCTCAGATCAGGGACTTTTCAGGTCTGCTACGGGAAGCTCTGGGACATGGAATCTTTGGTGGATCTTTGGGTGACTGAAGAGGTGGGTACTTTTACTTGTTCACACAGGCTATGAAGGAAGCAAATGTCCCTGCCATGAAACTATAAGCTAAAATGGCCCTACAATGTCAAGAAGATTCCACCTAGTATGCAGAGGGCCAAAAGGCTTTATATAGGCAAGACATGATGATTGAACCAGACAAAAAGCCAGCCTCAATTTCCTAGGATGTAGTCATGCTTTGCCCTGTCCTCCATCCAAGTTAGAACAGCTGGTAGAAAGCACACCCACATAAGTGAACTCAGCACTCCCAGTCCCTCTGGCATCCATAGCAGACTTAGCCAACACTGGAGGGTGCCTTCTGTCATAGGTGGTGCTATTGCTGGTGATCTCTCCTTGGCACAGGCTGAGCCACTGCTGTCAGAGCTCAAAGAGGGGGTTATATTTCCTAATTTCATGAAGAAGCTTTTCTTTATCCTGGTTGGCATTGGCCAATGCTTGTTTAGTTTCTATAAGTTCTTTTTGTAGGGTAGAAAGTTCTTTCACCTGAGGAACAATAAACAGTTCACAGTTAACGAACATGGTAATACCACCTTGCAATAAAAGCCAGTAACAGGAACAACAGGAAGAATTCAAGCAGAAAAACCCACAAGTTAGGTTACTGATTAAGAAAACTCAGCTAGATCCTTTTTTTCATTTTTTTTTTTCTTAAACACAGAATTACCATATAACAACTAGATCTTTTCTGAGAGCCTAATTCCCTTCAGAGTTCATCAGCAGGGACAGTATGTGATCAACAACCATTCACTCACTACCAGCTGCTAACTTAACATCCTCTAGTCAGCACTTCTAGAAGCTGCCACTAGGTGACAGGAGCCCAAACCACCCATATGCACACAGCACAAGCAACCTTTTCTGCACTCTGGGTTTTACCAGCTTCACAATTACAGCCCTCATAGGTTACAGGAAGATACTGTTCAGTTATTTTTTCATCTCTTTTTTTTTCTTTTTTGTTCAAAATCATTTTTTTCTTTAAAATAAATTTATACTGCTTCAAAGATGGTCAAGAAGATACTGTTTAGTTATGACCTCACCTGCTGTCCAAAAACCTCTCCTGTGGGCACAAGAAACATCTGTTCTTTGGGGGGTGGCCTCTTCTCACTTTTAGGTACTTCAGGTGATGGTCTGTCCTGAGCAGCAGCTGGGGGTAAAAGTAAAGGTTCTAAGTCACAAACTTCTGTCAACTCCCAGACAGTTCCTAGTTGTCACCTGTTCACTTATAGGAGAAAAAAGAGGAGCCAGGAGGCCGATAAGCCCGACTCACCGCCTATGTGGAACACGCCATCATCACTCCGCTTCAGCACAACATGCTCCATGGCCAGAGTGATGGGGACAGGGCCTGGAGATGTTGGATAGATGGGGGGAATATCATCCTGCAGGAAACAGGGAAATCACATGATGCCTCTAACAGCTCAGAGCAATTTAGGTAATACAACGCACGCTGCTATCATTCTCCTTAGAGCAGTTTTATGCCACTGTTTCTCCACACGTCCCTGGAAGGTATGAGAGCATAACTGAGTTTCCCTCATTCTAGAGATAGTGAAACTGAGGAAAGATAACCTGATGGCTTTGTACATGGTAGGGCTGCATGCCAAAGATAAGGCTGGGGTTAGAGACATGGCCCTCACCTGAACAGTGGCTTTTTTGACAGCAACATATATTTACCACCATAGCACTGACAGGGAATGCTACTGTGCATGTCCTCATTTGATCTTCACCACGTTTTACAGTGACAAGGGAAGAGGTAAATAGCTGTCAAGCAAGCTGCTTCCTTGCTAGACAAAGTCCAGGGCAAAACCCAAAGTTTCCTTTCACCTTCAGGGTGATGCTGGAGTTCAGTAGCTCAATCTGCATGGGGACTACCACTGGGATCTCCTCATCCTCCAAGAAGGGCCCCAGGCCATTGAGCACCGATGTGAGCAGCTCGAGGTCACAGCCATGAAGCAAGAAATGCAGGAAACCATTTTGTGTGGCCAGCGGGGAACGCACTGCTGCACCAGGCCCCACCTCAAAGCGGAGGCCCACAGCTGGCCTGTTGTGGCCGCTCTTCAAAGTTGAGGATTCTGGAAAGGATGTACCTTTGCGAAGAAAGACAAGGAAAACATATTAATTCATTAAAAGCCAAGCACTTTCCTAAGCATTTTACATATCTTTTATATTCATAACAACTCTATGCCAAAAGTATTGTCAATATTCCCATCTTTATAGATGAATGAACTGAGTCACAGAATAACCTGCCCAAAGTAACACAAATAATAAGTAGCAAGGATAGGATCTAGACCCAGGCAGTCCATGGGCTTAGCTACTTCACTATAATGCCTCTCAATGTAGAAAAGAGGTTAAGGACCAAAAAAAAACCTAGTCTTATACATCTGAGGAATTGGGCTGATGGCCAAGGAAAAGGCCATTAAAACATAACACCCTGAACTCTACTAAATTTGAATGTCTCTTCCTTTCTCCAAGTCTTGGTCTTCTCATCTCTCACTGACAAAGCCAAGCAGGATCTATGCTAAACTCTGAAAGAGTACAATCATTTTTTGGAAAACAATTTGGCAATATCTAGTAAAGTTGAAGCTGTACCTACCCTAAAGATCTAGAAATTATATCCTCAGGAATATAACCCTGGAGAAACTCTTGAACACATATACCAGGAGACATGTACAAGGATGTTCACAGCAACCCTATTTGAAATAGCAAAGAACCTGGAAATAACCCAAATGTCTGAAAAGACTTAAGTAGTAAATAGGGTAATAGGTATAAGGGATATTTTAAGGGTGATGGAAATGTTCTAAAATTGGGTTGTAGTGATGATTATAAAACTCTAAATTTAATAAAATTTATAAATTGTACACTTACAATGAGTCAATTCTATACTATGCAAATTATATCACAATAAACCTGTTTTTAAAAAACAAAAAGAGGTATATTTGTATAATAGAATATTATATATCCATGAAAATGAATGAATTATAGCTAATTCAATAACCTAGAAGAATTTAACACATTAACTGCCACACTAGAAAAATATTTTTTCCCCTGGGGCCAGTGTTTTATTTAAAAAATTATCCTTTCTAATTTGTAATTTTTTTATTGTTTTCTGTGCATGAGTTATATGCAACACAATCCATGTTTTTAGAATTAAATTGTCAATATTAATTATAACGATAAGAACATCAACAAGTAAGATTTTCACAAACCAACTGCAGAGTTTTGTTTCACAAGGCCCTAGCATGAGTTAAATACAACTCACATGGCAGTTAATGTGTTAAAGAATATCATGCTACACACGAAAGAAGCAAATCACAAAATAATACAAATTAATAATTTATTCCACTTAAAGAACTCAAAAACCTAAAAAGCTAAATAATACATTAATACAAACATATTGGAAAAGTTATAAAGTAAAGCAAGAGAATGATAAATACAAAATTCAGGATAGTGATTACCTATGACAGGTGAGAAACAAGAGGAAGGTTCAAGAGAGGGACTCCCAGGAACATCAAAGGTAATAGTACTGTTGTATTTATTAAGCTAGGTGGTGGGTACGTGGGTTCATTGTATTGTTATGCCTTGTATATATTTTATAAGTATTCTTTAGTATCTACTCAATATTTTAAAAAATAATTTTTTAAGTGAAGCATATAATGTAAACCCAGATTTTTCCTGTCATCTTTTTAAAATATAACTGATAATTCACACCAAAGGACTGAATCTAAATGGCAAAAGTTCCCTGATCCGGCAGCGTTTTACGTTAGCAGCCACACAGATGAAGCAGTGGATATCGCCGTGATGGTAAGCTCAAGAAGTACCTGGGAAGTGCAGACGGAGAACAGCACAGTGAACACAAAGCCCCAGAGAGCGCTCTGGGAGGCTCCTTGCAAAAAGAGGCTTCACTACAGTTTTTCCTCCCCCTAATGGCTGCTAGAGAGAAGGACCAAAGGCTCATCACTAGAGCAGCTGCCCTTAGAGCACAGTGACCAGTACAAGTTAATTTATGGCTACACTAGATAAATCCCACCAGCTCTCCTGGACTGGCCGCCATTCTCACCTGAACACTGTCCATGCAGGAACTGCCAGAGTCCCACGGTGCCCAGCTGCTGGAGGGCCAGTTCCTCTGCTTGCAGGGCTACAGTCAGGTCCTCACCACGTACCTCAATCCCAAAAGACACCTCATTCACTTTCAGGACCAGAACTGAGACCTGTTGAAGGAGATTCTCTTAGTTCTAAGTCCCGAGCTTCCAGTCCAGAGCCTACCCTCTGCAGAGAGGAAAGTAGAACAGCTGACCGGGTGAAAGATGAGGTCTTCTCCACTGGGTGAAACTGAACTGTTGGCCTCTGGTGACCCTTGACCATAATTATCCATAACAGGGCTCCCTTGACCACCACCAGCCTCATCCAAGAGATTTGGAAGAGATCCTGATGGAACAGATTCTGCACCAGGCTCTGCAGGAGGAAGATGACAAAAGAATTGAAAATTCAAAATATTCTGTTCAAATCCAACCTCTAAAGACAGTGACAACTAGAAAAATAAAATATTTCTGGCATTCATGAGACAACTGGAAATTTGAAGACTGACTAGATATTTAATGAATTTAAGGAATTGTTAATTTTTTAAAGCATAATAATGGTCTTTTGGTCACATTAAAAAAATCTATAAATGGAAACAACTCAAGTGTCCATTGATGGACAAATGGATAACTGCAATGTGGTATATACATACAATGGAACATTATTCTGCCTTAAAAAGGAAGGAAATTCTGACACATGCTATAACATGGGAGAACCTTGAGGACATTATACTGAGTGGAATAAGTCAGTTACAAATGGACACACACTGTCTGATTCCACCTATATAAGTATCTAAAGTAGTCAAATTTACAGACAGAAGGTAGAATGGTGGTTGCGGGGGCTGAAGGGAGGGCGCATGGGGAGTTAGTGTTTAATAAGTACTGTTTCAGTTTTGCAGGGATGTTAAGAATCCTGGAGATAGACAAGGGTGCATGAGTTATATGCAACACAATCCATATTTTTAGAATTAAATTGTCAATATTAATTGTATTATTTTGTTTTGTTTTGTTTTTGAGACAGAGTCTCACTCTCTTGCCTGGGCTAGAGTGCCATGGCGTCAGCCTAGCTCACAGCAACCTCAAACTCCTAGGCTCAAGCGATCCTCCTGCCTCAGCCTCCCGAGTAGCTGGGACTACAGGCATGTGCCACCATGCTTGGCTAATTTTTTCTATATGTTTTTTTAGTTGGCCAATTAATTTCTTTCTATTTTTAGTAGAGACAGGGTCTCCCTCTTGCTTAGGCTGGTTTTGAACTCCTGACCTTGAGCAATCCTCCCTCCTGGGCCTCCCAGAGAGCTAGGATTACAGGCGTGAGCCACCACGCCTATTAATTGTAACAATAAGAACATCTATGAGATTTGTACAACAATGGTTGTATAACAATGAGAATGTACTTAATGTTTTTAAGTCTGCATTTTCGAGCAACATATAACCGAAAATATTTATGGACAAAAGGATACCTTTGGGATGTGCTTCAAAATAATATGGGACAGGACTGATTTGGCTGGTGGGGGAGAGGGTGGTGGAGTGGGACACCCAAGTAAGTTTTTTTTCTGTTTCTTCAGAGGGAAACTCAGATGTCCAAAAAATTTTCAAATGAACACATTAACAGGTTTATTTGGGTAAATGGCCTGTAGTGGCTTTTTCCTCTAGCAAGGGGAAAAGAATAAGCAGGTAGGTAATAACTAGAAGGCAGGAAGTCCTGCACGGTGTGATCATGAGCACGTCCAACTGTATTAATGCCATTGAAATAATAAATTTGATATAGTGGTAAAAAAATAATAATAATATGAGACAAAGGGAAATGGGCAGTAGTGTATATGAAATGAGAATGACCATGAGTTCTTCATGTTGAAGCTAGGTAATGGGTATAAGATGGTTCATTATTTAATTCTGTCTACTTTTATACATATTTGAAATTTTCCATAAGAAGCTATAAATAATAACAAAACAGTCTGGGAACCATGACTCCTGCCTATAATCCTAGTACTTTGGGAGGCCAAGGTGGGAGGACTAAAGCCAGGACTTCAAGACCAGCCTGAGCAACACAGTGAGACTCTGTGTCTGCAAAAACTAGAAACATTAGCCAAGCATGGTAGTATACACCTGTAGTGCCGGCAACTTGGAAGGCTGAGGCAAGAGGATTGCTCGAACTCTGGAGTTTGAGGTTGGAGTGAGTTATGATTGTGCCACTGCACTCCAGCCTGGGTGACAGAGCAAGACTCTGTTTAAAAAAAAAAAAAACAAAAAAAAAACATTAATATTACCTCACACATGTCAGAATAGTTATTATCAAAAAGATGAAAGGTACCATGTGTTGAAAAGGATGTAGAGAAAAGAGACCTAGTATACTGTTGGTGGAAACGTAAATTAATAGAGCCATCATAGAAAACTGTATGGAAATTCCTCACAAAACTAAAAACAGAGTTACCACATCCACTTGTGGGTATATATCCAAAGGATTTGATGTTAGTATATCAAAGAGATATCTGCACTCCCATGTTTGCAACAGCATCATTCATAATAGTCAAACTATGGAATCGGCCTGTGTGCCCATCAACAAAAATGCGGTATCTATACACAATGGACTACCATCCAGCCTTAAAAAACAGGGAAATCCTGTCATTTGCAACAACATGGATGAGCAAGGAGGAAACTGTGCTGAGTGAAGTAAGCCAGACACAGAAAGACATGTTCTCACTTATATGTGGAATCTAAAACAATCAAACTCATAGAAGCAGAGAGAACGGTGGTTACCGGAATGGAGGCCAAAAAGAGTAGAGGGAAAGGGGATGGGGAGATGCTGATCAAAAGCAAAAATGTGGCCAGGCATGGTGGCTCACACCGGTAATCCTAGCACTCTGGGAGGCCGAGATGGGAGGATTGCTTGAGCTCAGGAGTTCAAGATCATCCTGAGCAAGAGCAAGACCCCATCACTACTATAAAAAAAAATAATTATAATAAAAATTTTAAAAAAAAGCAAAAATGCTTCTGTTAGGAGAAATAAATGATAATTGAGGTGATACATATGTTAATGAGCTTGATTCAAAAAAAACTCTACATTGTACGCATGTATCATAGCATCACATTATACCACATAAATAAATTATAATTTGACAATAAAAAAATTAAATAAAAAAGGGCTGAATATAGTGGTTCATGCCTGCAATCCCAGAGCTTTAGGAGGGTGAGGCAAGAAGATTGCTTGAGGCCACGATTTTGAGAGGATCCTGGCAACACAGTGAGACCCCATCTCTATAAAAAAATAAATTATAGCTGGGTGTGGTGGCTCTCATGCCTATAGTCCCAGCTACTCAGTAGGCTGGGGTGGGAAGATCACTGGAGCCCAGAAGTTCAAGGTTACAGTGAGCTATGATCATGCCACTGCACTCCAGCCTGGGTGACAGAGCAAGACCCTGTCTCTTAAAACAAATAAACAAACAAACCCTGCTGCATTCTCTCTTTAGATATTCTTTTTTGTTATGTTTTACTTTGAGACAGGATCTCGTTCTGTCTTCCCTGGGTAGAGTGTGGTTGCGTTGTCATAACTCACTGCAACCTCAAACTCCTGGGCTGAAACAATCCTCCTGCCTCAGCCTCCCCAGTAGCTGGGACTACAGGTGCATGCTACCACACCCGGCTAATTTTTCTCTTTTTAGTACAGATGGGTTCTTACTCTTGCTCAGGCTGGTCTCAAACTCCTGACCTCAAGTAATCCTCCCGTGTTGGGCTCTCAGAGTGCTAGGATTACAGGTGTGAGCCACCTTGCCTGGGCTCTCTTTAGATATTCTTAAGGGATCATTTAATAGGTTTCTATTTCAATAAGCTAAAAGAACCATTCGTGTAACTTCAGAGATGATTGATTTAATTACTCTAGTTATTTTCCAACATTAAAATACACAGGCAAAAAACAATAAAAAGACAACAAATACACTCACATTATTGATACCAACCATGAAATGAATCCTACTAAAGGAGTTACACGGCTATAGACTAGTTTTCTCCTTTGGTTTGAATCTCTTCCTGTGATAAAAGTATTAACTAATAATCTAGAGGATGTAGAGATAAAACCAGAGCCACAAATCCACCAAAACTTTTGTTTTCATTAAGAAAAAGTCTATATTGTCAAATCTCAGCTCCTCTTGAATCCTGCCAGTCTGAATACAGGCAGCAGAGAGAACCCTTTCTGGACTTCTGCAGTTTTGCCGGGCTCTGCTCCCACATACCAGACTCCAAAAGCATCACAAAGCTGTCACTGCCATCACTGTCCACTGAAATCCGGTCTTCAGGGCCACTGTTATCCAATGAGATACCATCAAATGACTGTTGAGATACCGTTCTCTTCATGGAGAAAATTCGGAGTCGGGCAGCACTTCCACTCACCGGGGCTGCCGCCCCCTCATCTGTCTTGACCAGGGGCTCCCTGTTTAAAAAAACAAAACAAAAACAAAAAGTACAAATGTGACTTTGGAGATATGTTTGTACCCACCCTTCAATCACCATTCTCCTTGAGCTTAGTTATTGTGAACATAAACCTTGACATCACCTATTACCTGCTATAAAGGGATCAAGTCATTTTTCAATTGATGGCCTTTCTGAATCCTCTTATTCCAGCATCTCTAACTGCATAAACAACTCTCCCATATCAACATTAAATGTCAAGGTTTTTCAAGATCATCTTATACACAAAAGAGACCAGCTAACCACTACAGAGGTGCTAATGAATGGTACCTGAAACCACCTGCATTCATTCCACAAGTATTTACTAAACAGCTTCGGTATGCAAGGCACCATACTAGGCATGAGGCAGGAGTGAGGGGGGGATAATTTGATGAATAAAACATCCCTTGTTCTCAAAGACTTATAATCTATTAAGAGAAAGGATATTTATACAGGCATAACATTATATAGGAGTTAGTCACACATGCCATAAGAGACGGACAGAGGCACAAAGCCAAAGGCTAGACAATATCAAAGAAGAAAAAGGAGGAGGGAAAGGGGACCAGTAATGGCTCTATGGAAGGAGATGGCATTTGAGGTGGTTCTTTTTTTTTTTTTTTGAGACAGAGTCTCACTTTCTTGCCCAGGCTAGAGTGAGTGCTGTGGCGTCAGCCTGGCTCACAGCAACCTCAAACTCCTGGGCTTAAGTGATCCTCCTGCCTCAGCCTCCCAAGTAGCTGGGACTACAGGCATGTGCCACCATGCCCAGCTAATTTTTTCTATATATTTTTAGTTGGCCAATTAATTTCTTTCTATTTATAGTAGAAACTGGGTCTTACTCTTGCTCAGGCTGGTTTTGAACTCCTGACCTTGAGCAATCCTCCCGCCTCGGCCTCCAGAGAGCTAGGATTACAGGCATGAGCCACCACGCCCGGCCTCTACGTTTTAATAAATCCTCCAGATGATTCTGATGTACACTCAAATTTGAGAACCACTGATCTAAGAATCATGGTCAGAACATGACAAGTGTAAGAGGAAAAGAGCGAAAATGTAGAGCTTGAAAGAGTAGGAGAATGCTATTATCAAAAGAAGAACAAACTGATCTGGGGAGGAATAAGGAATTTTATTTTATATATGTAAGATTTGAGGCTCTCCTAGGAGATCCATGTGGAGCTAGGTCCAGTAAACAGTTTTAAATGAAGCGCAGGGTGGGGAGGGGAGTCAGTACTCAAAATATAAACTATAGCGGAAATAGGGAGACCAATACAATAATCTAGAAAGAAAGTATTAAAAAGTGTAGACTGATATAAACTTGAATGTTTGGCAAATGTATCAAGAATCTTAAAAGTGTTTATAGCATTTTACCCAATAATTTCAATTATAGGTTTTTATTCTAAAGAAAGATGTAGGCCAGGTGCAGTGGCTCATGCTTGTAATCCTGGCACTCTGGAAGGCCAAGGCAGGAGGACTGCTTGAGCTCAGGAGTTCAAGACCAGCCCTAGCAAAAGTGAGACCCTATCTCTACAAAAAATAGAAAAAAATCAGCTGGGCATCATGGTGCCTATAGTCCTAGCTACTCAGGAGGCTGAGGCAGCAGGATCACCTGAGCACAGGAGTTTGAGGTTGCTGTGACCTATGATGACACTACTGCACTCTACCCAGGGCAACAGAGTGAGACTCTGTCTCAAAAAAAAAAAAAAAGAAAGAAAGAAAGAAAGGTTTAGATATGTACAATATTTAGAAAGAGTAACATTCACAAAAATAAAGACATTTAACACAACATTGGTCCTACCTGAGAAAAACTGGAAACAGACTAAATGAGTGCCCCAGGTAATGGAATGAATGAATAAATTTATACATCCATTTACTAGAATACAATAGAGCAATTAAAAATCATGTATTCAGCCGGGCGCGGTGGCTCACGCCTGTAATCCTAGCACTCTGGGAGGCCGAGGCGGGCGGATTGCTCAAGGTCAGGAGTTCAAAACCAGCACTAGAGCGAGACCCGTCTCTACCATAAAATCGAAGAAATTAATGGCCAACTAATATATTTAATATAAATCAGCCGGGCATGGTGGCTCGTGCCTGTAGTCCCAGCTACTCGGGAGGCTGAGGCAGCAGATCGCTGAGCCAGGAGTTTGAGGTTGCTGTGAGCAGGCTGACGCCACAGCACTCACTCTAGCCTGGGCAACAAAGCGAGACTCTGTCTCAAAAAAAAAAAAAAAAAAAATCATGTATTCAAATATCTAACGAACATAAAAATATTCACAATAAAATATTAAGTGAATAAAGCAGGATGCAACATTGTAGAAATAATATAATCCTCTTGGAAAAACAATATTTGTGTATATTATGCATAAACACATACAAGCATTCACATAGACACATAAAGATTAGAAGAAAATAGACTCAAATGTTGATAATGGTTACCTTTGGATAGTATCATTACAAGTAATTTTTATATCTTCTTTATTGTTCTACTTCCTGCACAGTCAACTGAATGAGCACAAGCCATTTTTATAATTTAAAAGATTAAAATTAAGACAAAAGTGAGCAGACTATGGACAGCCTAGCCTTGTGGAACATTTACATTTATGGGATAAAAGGAAGAAGAGTGCAGCCAAGGAAAAAGAGAAGACTCCTTCAGAGAAGTGACAGTAACTGGGCAGGGTTACAAATGCTTAGCATGAACTGATCCACCATGGAAACTGTCAAAGAGAAGTCCAGGAGAAGGAAAACTGAGAAAAGGCCACCAGCTTGGGCAGTTAGGAAGTCACTGCTGATGTTTCAAAAGAGCTCGTTTCCCACACCTTTCTTTCTCTTTTTCACCTCTCCTCTTTTCCCATCTCCCTTACTCATCTCCATTTAGAAAAAGCAGCACATTTGGTTAATAAGAGTCCAAGTTTTCAGTCCTTGCCCCACCACTCACAAGTTGTGTTATCTTAAGCCAGTGTCTTACCTCTCTGAGCCTCAGTTTCCTCATCTGTAAAATGGGGAGTGATGTTAGTACCTGCCTCACAAGACTCTTATAAGAATTCAGTGGGGGGGGGGCAAGGGCAATATACGTAACCTTAACATTTGTACCCCCATAATATGCTGAAATTAAAAAAAAAGAATTCGGTGGATTAATATTTAAGTATTTAGGACAGTGCCTGTGCCTGACAAACAGAAAGCACTTAATAAATGCTAGCTAGTATTATACCTACAGTCCCCACCCCCTGGGCTATGGTTCATGGCCTTTTAGGAACCGGCCACACAGCAGCAGGTGAGCAACAGGTGAGCACGTGAAGCTTCATCTTCATCTGTACTTATAGCTGCTCCCCATTGCTCACATCACCACAGAAGCTCCGCCTCCTGTCAGATCAGAGTCAGCATTAGGTTCTCACGCAGCACGAACCCTACTGTAAACTGCCTGTGCATGCGAGGGATCTAGGTTGTGCTCCTTATGAGAATCTAATACCTGCTGATCTGAGGTGGAGCTGAGGCGGTGATGCCAGTGCTGGGAGCGGCTGCAAATATAGAGTATCATTAGCAGAGAGGTTTGACTGCACAGTAAATGTAATGTGCTTCAATCATCCCCAAACCATCCCCAACCCCCAGTCTGTGGAAAAATTGTCTTCCATGAAACTGGTCCCTGGTGCCAAAAAGATTGGGGACCACTGTGTTATGCCATTCACCCCTGTAAGTCTTCCTCTCTGCTTTGTCCTTGGCTATCTATCACAGCAGGTACTAGCGTACCCACAGGCATTGCTCAGAGGCCCACTTACACCAATCCACTTAGACAAAAGTTCTAAAAACAGTGATCTTCATACCACTGTCTCTAAACCACAAGGTGTCCCAGCAAAGATTTCCTTTAGTCTTCATTATCTTTCCTAAAACCACAAGGCATCCATGGGATGCCTTTTCTGATCTTTTGACAATGCATTTTTGTGTTTTTCTGCTAACTACCTACTTAGCATCTCCAGTGCTTGATGCAAAGCCCAGCACACAGTAAGGGCTCAAAAAATATTTGTCAAATGAATGGATGAAATTCTTCCTTCTCTATTATTCTGGGAGACATTGATAAGGTACCAAAAAGAGCAAGTCCAGAGCCTCAGCTTTTCTATTTACAAGATATAGGATCCATGAGCTCATCTATTCTGAAGCTTCAGTTTCCTCAGCTATAAACTGGGGATACAAACATCTGAAGCAACCTTACCAGGTTGCTGTGGGTATCACACGAAACAAAAAAATTGCTCAAAAGCCCACTGAAAAGAATATTATAGAGATGCCAGCTATCACTATTCTGGTATAACATATCTGTAGCCATAATAGTTAATCAGTGAAAGAAGAGGTAATCTGATTATGAGCAGCAATAAATGTTGGCTTGAAAACTACCCATTAAATAGGCCATTCTACACATTCTCCTAGACTACATGGTGTTTCCCATCTAAAGTACACAAAGCAGAGGCTTTAATAACCAATGGTCAGGGCAGGGAGCCGTGGCTCACACCTGTAGTCCTAGCACTCTGGGAGGTCGAGGCGGGGCAGATTGCTCAAGGTCAGGAGTTTGAAACCAGCCTGAGCAAGAGTGAGACCCCATCTCTACTATAAATAGAAAGAAATTAATTGGCCAACTAATATATATAGAAAAAATTAGCGGGGCATGGTGACGCGTGCCTGTAGTCCCAGCTACTCGGGAGGCTGAGGCAGGAGGATTGCTTGAGCCCAGGAGTTTGAGGTTGCTGTGAGCTAGGCTGACGCCATGGCACTCACTCTAGCCTGGGCAACAAAGTGAGACTCTGTCTCAAAAAAACAAAACAAAACAAAACCAGTGGTCAGAGGAGGAAGAGATGATGCAACTGAAGGAGGCAGAGAACCACTCACTTGGCTGGGGGCAAGAACAACATCTTGTGCATGGTGGAGGTCATTCGATCTTTGCCTAGACTGAAGGCATCCTTAGTCAGAGATACAGCTTCTTTGGTGAGGTCCATAGTAGCATGTAGAGCCTCCTTGGTGGCATCCTTGGTCATGTGAATAGCACTTGACAATTCTCCCTCAATGTTCTTCAAAGGGATGAGCTCACCTTGTCCATTCACAGCAGTATCCCTGCCAGCTGGGGGCTTCAACATAGCTGGTGAGCTGGAGGCTTGGGCTCTGCTCAGTCTCTTGGCTTGTAGGGACTCAACTGCCTCATGGTCCTTCCCTGCCAACTGCTGGACAAGTGGACCTGAGTCATGCAGTTCTTCATTGCTATGCAGCCTCTCCTGGGAATCATCCAGATTTTCAATGCTACTATCCTCCACAACTTTCTCAGGGCTTGCTGGCCCCTGGTCTGAGGAGACATCAGACTTTAGTTCCCGATCCTCTGAAGGAGACAGCTCTGAACCTATGAGGCTGGTGCTATCTGAACCTGCAGAGTCAGCATCAACAGCCCCAGGGGCAGGATGCATAAGCAGAGCCACCTCAGCACTTGGAAAGAGGACTCCAATGCAAGCTGTCTGGTTCTGCAGGGGAGACCCAGTCATGGCCTCTGTGTCCTTAGTCAGCTGGTCCTGAAGCCCCTGCACCACCTCCTTCAGACGAAGCAGAGCCAAGTACTGGTAGTGGTCAAGCCTCAGGCGGACATGGGATGGGGAGTGTACAAGCATGTGAACATCCGCTGCATCCTCTAGCTCTGGCAGGGCCCCTTTGTTGTCCACAACACTACTATCTTCTCTCAGAATTTCCATGACTTTCGTAAGGCCTGATAAACTTTTCAAATCATGCTCAGTCTTTGACCTCTGATGAGACATAGAGTCAGGGGCAAGGGCCTCAGATTGGACAGGACTGCCAAAGCTGGCTGATGGTTTCAGCCTCCCCTCTGAGGCCAAAAGGAGCTTGCGTGCCTGGGCTTGCTGCCAGCGGAGGGGTAGGCAGGCCCAAATGGACAAGGGAAAGGGGGCCACAAAGTTCAAGGTATGGCCTTTATAGTTCTCTGTTCCCTCAAAGTCAAAGGAGATCTGGGTGAAGTGGACAGACCAGAGATCCTGTGAAGCCTTAGGCCTCTGGGGAGGAAGGGCGCTAGGCTGAAGCAGGTGGGAATCTATCTGGAAGGCATGATGCAAAAAAAGCATGTGCAGAAGGCTAAAGCCACCCGAAACCTTAGGAAAGTGATCATAATTGGAATGAAAGAACTCAGCAGCAGCAAAACCCCGGAAGAGACTTTGGAGGTCTGGACAGCCACAATGTGGGGCATGACGTGTATTGGTGGCAATCATGCCTGATGCAGAGAAGACAAGGGCCTGAGGACGATGCAACTCTGCCTGTTCTCTCTTTTCCAGTGGGAAGCTCACCTTAAGAGAAAAAATGAAACACAATTTAGAATGGCCATCTGAGTATCTCAGCACCCCACTATTAATACACATGTGAAAGACCATTTGGGCTGTAAAACAGTTTTCTTACTTCCACCAAACAGAACAGAACCACGGATTACAGAACCACTGGAAAAATGTGGCAGTGGCTACCAACAGGGGACAAAAGTCTCACTCTCTCTCTTACCTTCAACTGGAAGGCATCCAGTCGGATGTCCAAGTGTTCATCTTTCTGGCTTGAATCTTCCAGCTTGTAGATAGCTTTGAACTGTTCTAAGCTGCGGTATAAATCCAGGCAAAAGAGGTTTCCCCAGAGCAAGCTGACAGGATCCACAGTGAACGTCAGACCATTTAACTGAATATAGAGATTGGGACAAGGAACTAGAAAGCAAAGAAAAAAGCAGAATCATCATATACAAAGCAGCAGGTGAACTCTTACTATCTAACATTTATTTTATTATCAAGAGAACAAAGATATACATTTATACAGGGCAGAGTTTTTAACAAAGGTGTGCTAAATTAACTCAAACACCTAAAATTCCTAACAACAAATGAAAATATAAGCAGTGACTCCAAGGCTGATACTATGAAAATGATGAGCTTGACAGAAGAAATGTTCAGCCCAGGTGCTTACCTGGAAGCTCCTGATTATCTGGGAAATAATACTCTGTGAACTCAATATGAATGGCAGAGACCTGAGTGGGTAGGTTGTGGAGTTTCCGACTGCAGGAAAGGAGTGTAGATGGCTTCTTACTTGGCTGTCCAGCTGTAGAAACCTAAGCAATCACAACTTACTGTTAGCATCTATAGCAGGGGTCTTCAAACTTTTTAAACAGGGGGCCAGTTCACTGTCCCTCAGACTGTGGAGAGTGCGCACTGTGGGCCTGGGACGAGTCGGCTGCTAAGCAGGACAGGGAGCGGCAGCAAAAACACCCAGCAGGCTGGATAAATGTCCTAGCGGGCGGATGTGGCCTGCGGGCCGTAGTGTGAAGACGCCTGATACAGCAATATGCAGAATAGGACTCCATTTCTGCTTAGGAAGCATAAGGCCACTGCCATCCTTCCAAAGTCTGTCACAGGGAGTACAGGGCTTTTCAAACATATTCCAGGCATTCTCACATCTGCCTCACACTATCCGCAAGTTAGTTTTTTCAGTGGGAGGTAGGGCATTCAGAGGAAAACTGGGAGGATTCCTGAGTCCTGATCTCAGCAGCCATGCTCAGAAAGAAACACAACCTACCCAGAAGTGAGGTAAACAATCCCTGAATTCAACTACTTTGTTCATACTGTTCCAGATGCATTCCAAGTGAACTATTCCATCCCTTTCCAACCATGTTGCTTCATGTCCTCACCTGGTGGATGTCTAGGTCATCCACCCGTACTACCATGCAGCTGGAGCGCAAGCGATTCCAGGCTGGAGGCCAAAAGGCAGTTTGTCGATTCTGAGAGGGGCTTCTCTCAAGAGAGTTCTTTCGAGGACTGGAGAAAGAATCTAAACAAGTAAGAAGGTGGGAAAGAGAACCAGATACATTCCATTCTCATCATTAATAGAATTAGGAAAGTAAAAATAAAAATAAAAAGAAAGTAAAAATCATAAAATTATTAATACTACATGTAGGAAAGAAAGCTTAACATGTCTAGCTCCTGGATGGAACAATTAATAAAAACTATATTCTCCCTAAGGCCAGGCAACATCCTACTGAACAGAGATGACAACAACTTCTCTACCACACTGCAGCTATTCCTGGGGATAAAGAGTCTCCATAAAGAAAAAAGTCACTGATGTCTCCATGAGACACTGGCTTTATCTCCACTAGCTATTCAAAGATAATAATTACAGGAGGTGGGTCAGCACTTTGGGAAGCTGAGGCAAGGGGATTGCTTGAGCCCAGTAGTCCAAGACCAGCCTGAACAACATAGCAAGACCTCATCTCTACAAAAATAGAAAAATTAGCAGGGCACAATGGCATACACCTATAGTCATAACTACTGAGGAGGCTCAGGAAGGAGGATAGCTTGAGTCCAGGAGTTGGGGCTGCAGTGAGATATAACCACGTCACTGCACTCCAGCCCAGGCTACAGAGCGAGACCCCTTCTCTTTTAAAAAATGAATTAATTTTTCAAAAAGATAAATGGTAAGAGGCTAAGCAACTGGAATCCTCCAGTTCTTCATAACCCACCTGCTTTCCTCCGGAAGGGAGAATCTACCCCCAGGTGCCAGGGTGGTTTCAGACCCATCTCCTCATGCCACTTCTCCATTTTACTCTGAAATTCCATCACCAGCTTCTGGGCCCACTGTCCTCGTGTCTCCATGGCCTCACAGTGCCGTACCCAGTGTTTGCAGCTATCACCTAGTCAACAAAGAAGCAAAGATTTTAGCCCAAGATCATTATCCAACGTTCCAATGTTTCCCTTCTGTCAGTATAATCATAGCTTAGAATCTGATTCCTCACCCCCAATCCAGAATTCTCTGGATAAAGCAAAATTATCAACTGAGAGTTCCTAAGTTCTGGATTCCATATGTGATTTTTTGCCATAAGGCTCCCTAAAGGCCAGCTGCTGACTGTGTCATCTTTGACTATGGACTACTGGAGAGGCTCTGAAACTAGTGGGAGTGAAGGGTAGAGAATAGAATCAATAGCAACATCTCAGGCACTAACTCCCCTCACACTTCTTCTCATCACTGATAAAGAATCAATAGTGGACCCTGTAGGTTTCTAGAAGATGTCCTCTAGGAAAGGGATATTCCCAACGCTTCTCTGAGCATATGCTGCAATCCCTGCACCCTCCAGCTGAGCAGTCAGGGATAAACCCAGAAATCTGCCCTCCCTATTTGGAGCTATACTAGAACTGACCCCATGCAGAATTCTACTAACCTGCCCAGTGGAAGGGGTAATAGTCAAATGCCATCTTGCGGAAGGTAAGCTGCATGGCACCGCCTGTGAGTCTGTTCGCAGAGACATCTATAAAAGAAAAATACCGGTGAATAGCAGTGGAAGGAACAGCCAAAACACCACCTATAGCACTTAAAACTCCTGCTGAGGGCAGGTTGTAAAGCCCAGCTGATAACACAGCACAGCTCAAAGGCCTTGATGTCAGGTGAGTTGCAAAACTGAGGCTCTTTTCTTTTGGGTTACAATAGATAACCCACATGCTCTAAAACCACGCTTCCCAATCCCCTGGCCTCAGACAGTACAGGTATGTGGCCTGTGAGGAACTGGGCTGCACAGCAGGAGGGGAGCAGCAGAGCCAGTGACGCTACTCTCCTTTGCTCATATCACCGCCTGATCTCCGCCTCCCCTCAGAGCTGTCACCGTCTCCCATCACCCCCAGATGGGACCATCTAGTTGCGGGAAAATAAGCTCAGGGCTCCCACTGATTCTGCATTATGGTGATTTCTATAGTTATTATATATTACAATATAATAACAATAGAAATAAAATACAGAATAAATGTAATGCACTTGAATCATCCTGAAACCCTACCCCACCCCACCCCAACCTTACCCCACCCATGGGAAAACTGTCTTCCATGAAACTGATCCCTGGTACCAAAAAGGTTGGGGACCACTGCTTTAAAAGACCCAAACAAAAGTATATTCTATTATCTCTGTAAATGGCTGCCATATTTTCAGAAAGGCAAAAGAAACTGCAAAACTCAGGATTCAGAAATTGCAATCCAAAGTTTCCTACAGACACACTCTACAAGCTGGACTGACTGGTTCTCCCAACCTTAACACTATTAATACTAGTGTGGCAGTCCTTCAACACAACACCTGAAGAGGTATAACCCAGATTCCCAAAAAACAAGAACTCATATTATTTCCTTTCATATCCTGGCCTCAGAGCTAAAGTTGTGATATTAGACCATCATTCTACATACCATGGAATGCTAAAAATACTGAACAAACACCAAATGTTATAAAATAAACATAGAGAATATTGTAGGTAAATTGGAATTTTTAGCAATAAGTCAAATATTCCATTATGTTTATATTGAATCTACATTTAATTCTTACTAAACGAATGAACTTTCCATGTTTCTATTGTATCTCTCCAATTAGACTAAAAACTATAAAAGCAGGAACTATTTCTTCTACATGTGTACTGTCTGACCCACACTATTCTGGTATGTCCACCCTGTCTCCTACTAGTATATCTATCATAGAGCCTTGTAAGCAGCAGATGCTCAATAAAAATGAGAAAAAACACCACAGAAATGAGCGAAGGGAAATACAATGGAATCCCTATGGAAGGCAGAGGAGATAAAAGGAGGTGAGGGAGGAGAAGCGGTGGGGGAGGGATAAGAAAAGTTTTTGGCTTACAGGGTTTATACTGGCAGAAAACAATTTTTAATAGGCAGGTGATGGCCAGGCACAGTGGCTCACACCTGTATTCCTAGCACTCTGGGAGGCCAGGCGGGTGGCTCGCTCTCAAGGTCAGGAGTTCAAAACCAGCCTGAGCAAGAGCAAGACCCAATCTCTACTAAAATGGAAAGAAATTAATTGGCCAACTAAAAATATATAGAAAAAAAAACAAAATGAGCTGGGCATGGTGGCACATGCTTGTAGTCCCAGCTACACGGGAGACTGAGGCAGGAGGATCACCTGAGCCCAGGAGTTTGAGGTTGCTGTGAGCTAGGCTGACGCCACAGCACTCTAGCCTGGGCAACAGAGTGAGACTCTATCTTGAAAAAAACAAAAAAAGGGCAGGTGATACTCATTTCCTCAATAATCACCAACCCTTCCTCTGAAACCTGAAGTCTAAGCTGATCCAGTTTGACTTTAAGAGACAGTATTGTCACACCTCTAGCCAAGCTGACCCCAATGACCCATCCAATTTCCAATTATTTTACCTCTAACATCATGGGATCAGTGAGCACATGAGCAATCCCAAGATACCAGCTCTCATATCCCTTAATAAAAAAAGTAGAAGATGTAGCTTTCAAGTAGTTTCTAAAGCAGCACTGTTCAAAAAAATTTTCTGTGATGATAGACATGTTCTATGGTTTATATATTACATTGAAAACTTGAAATGTGGCTAGTGCTGATGAAGAACTAATTTTAATTAATTTTTATTTTAATTTAAATAGCCATACATAGCTAGTGGCTACCATATTGACACAGAATTCTAGAGCAATTATATCTAATAAAAATATTAACAAAATGTAAGCCAGGCTCAGTGGCATATACCTGTAATCCCAGCTACTCCAGAGGCTAAGGCAGGAGGATCATTTGAGCCCAGGAATTTGAGATCAACCTGGGCAACACAGTGATGCCCGTGGCAAAATAAAAACAAAAACAAAAAAAAAGAAATATAATGTGAGGCACATAAGTAATTTTTTTTTGGTAGACACAGGGCCTCACTCTTGCTCAGGCTGGTGTTGAACTCCTGAGTTCAAGTGATCCTCCCACCTCAGCATCCCAGAGTGCTAGGATTACCGGCATAAGCCACCATGCCCAGCCTACATAAGTAATTTTAAATTTTCTAGTAGCTAAATGAAGAAAAGTTTTTTTAAAGTAAAATTAATTTTAATAATATGTATTATTTAAGCCAATATACCCAAAATATTATTATTTCAACATGTACTCAATATGAAAATAATTACTGAGGTATTTTACACCTTTTTTGTACCATATCTTTGAAATTCATTGTGTATTTTACACTTCAACATCTCAATTTGGATCAGTCACATTTAAGTCCCCAATAGTCACATGTGGCTAGTGCCTACTGTCTCGGACAGAACAACTCCAGAGAATTTTAAAGCCCTTTCTGTACCACCTAGTTCTCCCTTTTCCTTTCTCCCCAAACCCAAGGGAAAGAGTCAAAGTTATAAGAATTCTCCTGTTTTCTGCCCCTTCACAAAGTAAAAACTACACCTAGATGGTAGGCTGGAAATTATCCCTATATTTTAAAATAGCTCATCTAAAACATCCTTAAATTCTACCAAGTAGATTAATTTAGTTTAATAAATAAATAGTACAGCTAGTCATTCACATCTTAGTGTGAATTACAGGACCCTGGCACTCGAAAACAGTGTTACACATCCCCCAATAGGCAACAGGATAAAACTCTCAATAATGTACTCTTAATTAAGACTTCTGAAAGGATTTAAAACAAAACTAAACAAACAAACACCCAAAGCCTTTAGGTAACATTTGGAAGAAATAACCAAACAAAATAATAGTTTTAGTAATGAACTTCCAAAATGAGTGGGTAGCAAATTATCTCCTGTGGTGGCAAAGGCAATCTTTATGTTGTCATTGCTCGCGTCTTCCCTCTCAGAATGAAAGTAGGGAGGGGTTGAAATCACCTCAAGATGGAGGAATAGCTAAGCAGCAGAGGCAGAGCTGCTCGGTGCCCCCAGGAAGAAAAGAAAAGAACTGGTAGGTCTCCCAAGGAAACTGAGTCTAGGTCTTATTTAATATTAAAAGGCAAACACAGGCCGGGCGCGGTGGCTCATACCTATAATCCTAGCACTCTGGGAGGCCGATGCGGGCGGATTGCTCGAGGTCAGGAGTTCGAAACCGGCCTGAGCAAGAGTGAGACCCTGTTTCTACTATAAATAGAAAGAAATTAATTGGCCAACTAATATATATAGAAAAAATTAGCCTGGCATGGTGGCACATGCCTGTAGTCCCAGCTACTCGGGAGGCTGAGGCAGAAGGATCGCTTGAGCTCAGGAGTTTGAGGTTGCTGTGAGCTCGGCTGATGCCATGGCACTCACTCTAGCCTGGGCATCAAAGGGAGACTCTGTCTCAAAAAAAAAAAATAAAATAAAATAAAATAAATAAATAAATAAATAAATAAATGAATGAATGAATGAATGAATGAATGAATGAATGAATGGCAAACACAGCCTTCAGAAAAGATAAAGCGGCAAGAGAAAACTCTACCATACGTTAGCATCAAACCCAAGAGTTGGTGACGAAGGGGAGTATAAAGGGAACAACAAAGGCTGGGCATGGTGGCTCACACCTGTAGTCCCAGCACTTTAAGGGACCAAGGTGGGAGGATCACTTGAGGCCAGGAGTTTGAGGCCAGCCTGGGCAACAAAGCAAGATCCTGTCTCTACAAAAAATTGAGTAAGTTAGCTGAACGTGGTGGCACACGCGTGGAGGAGGCTTAGGTAAGAGTATCACTCGAGCCCAAGAGTTCACAAGTGCAGTGAGCTATGACTACACCACTGCACTCTAGCTGGGCAACAGAGCAAGACCCTGTCTCTAAAAAAAAAAAAAGAAAAAGAAAAAAAAAAGGAACATAGAGATAACATTGAAAGAACAAGCAGCAGAGTAATAATACTTAATATTTGCCCATAATTAAGGTCCTCCAAATTCAGCATATTATCTCATTTGAGACTACTGGGATAAATGAGTAAGATGTGATTTAACTCAATCTTTGAGGTGAATGACTTAAGATATGATTTAACTCAATTTCACAAATGAGGAAACTCAAAGAGGTTAAGTGATTTACCCAAGGCTCATAAAGAAAAGAAATGAGGGCCTGGCATGGTGGCTCACACCTGTAATCCTAGCCTTCTGGGGGGCTGAGGCAGGATGATTGCTCAAGGTCAGGAGTTCAAAACCAGCCTGAGCAAGAGGGAGACCCCGTCTCTACTAAAAATAGAAAGAAATTAATTGGCCAACTGAAAATATATGTAAAAAATTAGCCGGGCATGGTGGCACACGCCTGTAGTCCCAGCTACTCAGGAGGATGAGGCAAGAGGATCACTTGAGCCCAGGAGTTTGAGGTTACTGTGAGCTAGGCTGACGCCACGCCGGGCAACAGATTAAGATTCTGACTCAAAAAAAAGAAATGAGTCAATTACTTTTTTTCATTCTGAATAAATGTATATGTGTATATAACCCCAACTGCTCTGAGTATGACAAGAACACAAGCATAACCTCCTTGCTTGGGAAGAGCACATTTACACACAATACTTAAAATGACTCAAAAATCTGAAAATTCTGAGGTTTCCTATAGTTGAATTAACTTCCCTAAAGATCTTACTCCATTAAGTAAGTAACCTCTCAACCTCTGGCAAGTATTAGCATTGCCTAAGGGACTTTGGGGAGGTGGGATAAGTTCACACTGCCACCACTTGAACTCTACTACTGAAAATTCTGATTTAGTAAGGTTTGGAGAGAGGTATTTCATTAAGTATGAGAAGTGGTTCTACTGCATCCTAAGGGCTGAAAAGCATTGCCTCAAACTAACCACAAGAGGGCTGAGGCTCGAGAATACCATAATTAAGGGAAGCCAACCAAAGTTCTCCACAGCATCTCTGCAAAAGAGCCTTCATTTCCAGGCTTTTCCCAGAGCTAGACAATGATGTGGACCACCCAGCCCAGGCTGCTGGAGTACCTGGCTCTCGGGACTGGCTATCATCACAAATGTGCAGGTCCAGGCGGGAGATGAGCAGATGGTAGGAGGACTCTTTCACATCAAATTTCTCAAAGTACTGGCTGAGGCGGCTGCTGCTGCTATTGCTGTTGGCCTGGCTGCCCCCAAATGCCTGGGCCCAGGACTGCTGGGCACTTGGAGCAGGTGGAGTGATCTACACATGATAGAGAGAAAAACAAGAAGTCCAGACCTCAAGAGGCTCCTTTACAGGCTTTAAGCTTTAGTATAGCCTGAATAAAACCACAGTTTAGGAAGATGCTTCTTCCCTCTCATAAATGTTTGCCTGGTAACTCACTGAGATTTCTCACAACTAAATAACCCAAACTCCAAAAGCCTAATTATAATTAGTCTGGTAACTGTCCGATAGTAACAGTCTAGTAACTGTTCTGAGGTTTGAATTGCCCTCCAACCTCTCCCCCATCAGGACTTACCTAACTGATGCTAAAACACCTCCTCTGGGAAGACTTCCCTAAATGCTCTTTCAGCATGGGTAGTTAGATGTCTCTTTTTTGTGCTCTCCTGGCTTAGTGTTTACCTCTACTACTACTTAGTGTTTACCTCTACTATGGCACTTATCACAACAGACTGTAATAACTCATTTATGGTCCATCGTTCAAGACAGTGAGAGCCTCAAGGACAGGAACAAGAACTTGTTCCATTTTTCCTCTCCAGTGGCTCACATTGTATACCTAACACACTTGGGAGTACCCTATGAACAGAATAAATGAAAAATAGGAGGTACAGGCAAAGCCTATGAACTCCCAGAAGTAAATAACAATTACCCCAAATAAAGTCTAGATCCTACCTACATTAGTACAAGTTAGGTCTGGCCTACTAGGTCTCCCTAGCCCTACCAAGGGTGTCTGTTTTGTCTCCAACCTGTACAGGTTCAGGGGCCAGGCTCTTTCTTTGCTGGGCTGACTTCTCCATGGCTTCACTCAGCGACTCTGCATACTTCATCATAGCTTTGAGCTGTGAGTCAGTCAGCACCCAGAGTAGGTCATCCAACAGGAACATCAGTTTGGAAGCTATCACATTGCAATCTTTGGTCTATGGAGATGGGCCACAGAAAACATGGGGTTTATCATCTTGTATCATTCCAACTCCTCAAAGTGACTGATGCACAATCAAATTCAGAGGTGGCTTTTCCATCTCCAGTATGTGAAAGGAAAGCATCAGCACTGTGGAGAGCCAATTTCTTACAAAACTACTAAAGTTTGCTTAATTAACAAAAAGGAGCCACAGTTACCTGCCAGCTGCCTATGTCAGTGACCCTACATATAGGTAAAAAAATATGGTTTCCAAACTAAGCAAACAGGGAGGTGGAAATGTTCTCTTACTAGTTGGTATTAGGCAACACTGAAGTACAGGCCCTCCCACTTCAAATGACATTCCAGAGGCCAGTAACATATCAAATAATGAAAGAATACCAACTCCCAGGGTGTCTAGGAGAACAAAAGACAGACGTTTTCATGAGGATAGAGAACATACTTACTCTTCTCTTGAGGGCTATTTGGATTCTGCCTTGGTTGGTAATAAGCCTCAATGGAGTGGTTACTGGGTCCTGATCACCACTGTCTGTAGCATCTGCCTCAATTCGAAGTGTTTGCCAAGTTATTTCCTTAAATGTTAAAACCTGAGTGAAAGTAAAATCCCTTAATTCTGTGGATGACATTAACCACGAGGCAGGAAGACCAAGGGAAAAGGACTGGCAAGGTAGATACTCTCGCCATCTCAGCTGCGATCCTAATAACAGGCTCTCACTCAGAGAGCCATAAATGAGGAAAGGATATAGCAGCAACACTGAACAGAAAGGATTCTGCGGTTCCCAGGAATGGGGAACATTTCAGAAAATCCCCAAGGCAGGAATAACATTTTTTAAGCATCAGTCCTACTTTGAATCCGCTGCCCTCTCCCCTGACAGTGACAGGCTGTTACCTCTCCTCGGTGGGGGTCAGTGATGCGAGTGAAGCGAAGGTCACTTTGCTGCCAGCTGGGGTTGACACTATAGCCCTGGAGCTGCCACAATTCAAAAGAAGCGTGGAAGGCCTTGGAATGAATCTTGATGGTGATGGAATTGACAATGATGAACATCCCCTCCACCACCTTTTCAGCAAAGCCATATTCACTACAACAAATAAGGTGCACCAGTGGTCAGAATCATGTGAGCTGTATGCACAGTCTTCACACCAGAAGACATCAGTTTAACACACTGACACACTACAAAAAAATGTTTTTCCTTGAGGCCATGATATTTTATTACAAAAACAGAACAAAAACTTTGAAAACAAAATGATCCTTTCTTTTCTCTCTCTTTTTCTGAGACAGAGTCTCACTCTGTTGCCTGGGCTAGAGTGCTGTGGTATCAGCCTAGCTCACAGCAACCTCAAACTCCTGGGCTCAAGCAATCCTTCTGCCTCAGCCTCCCAAGTAGCTAGGACTACAGGCATGCGCCACCATGGCCGGCTAATTTTTTATATATATTTTTAGTTGGCCAATTAATTTCTTTCTATTTTTAGTAGAGACAGGGTCTCACTCTTGCTCAGGCTGGTTTTGAACTCCTGACCTTGAGCAGTCCGCCTGCCTTGGCCTCCCAGAGTGCTAGGATTACAGGTGTGAGCCACCACACCCAGCCAATACTTTCTAATTTAATGAAAAATTTAATGCAAAATGAAATTTATTGACTTCTATTTAATCCACATTTCGAGAATTAATTTGTCCATATTAATTGTATTAATAACAATAAGAACATCAACAAGTAGGATTTTCACAAACCAACTCACGGTTCTTTTTTTTTAATTATCACAATGGTGGTATATTCATTATAAAAAAATAAGCAAATATACTTTCTATAACAAACATTGTGTATACATAGCCTTAAGATTAGGATACATTTAGAGATCACATGTTCTTAGCACAACAAAAGAAAGAAAAAAATGTAAAATGAAAAAGAGAAAAACATAAAAAATAAATAAAAAAAAATAAAGATTAAGGATACAGGCCGGACGTGGTGGCTCACGCCTGTAATCCTACCACTCTGGGAGGCCAAGGCGGGAGGATTGCTCGAGGTCAGGAGTTCGAAACCAGCCTGAGCAAGAACGAGACCCCGTTAATTGGCCAAATAATATATATAGAAAAAATCAGCCGGGCATGCTGGCGCATGCCTATAGTCCCAGCTACTCGGGAGGCTGAGACAGTAGGATTGGTTGAGCCCAGGAGTTTGAGGTTGCTATGAGCTAGGCTGATGCCACGGCACTCACTCTAACCTGGGCAACAAAGCAAGACTCCGTCTCAAAAATATAAAAAAAAAGATTAAGGATACATAATATCTTCAAATAATCATATCTCAAGGGACCGTCATATAACCAAAATTTGTCAAAACACATTTCTGTCATAACAAAATACTACTAAGTATAAATGTGACAAGAAAGGACTTTAACCCTCATTTGCTTAATGTTTACATTCCTTTTTGTTGTTGTTGTTACATTTTATAACTTTGCCTCTCCCTAGCAAGGGTTAGAGGCATGTCCTTCCCCTCTACAATGCTCACTGCGTCCCACAGTTGTGAGTCTACGCCCACAACCCCCCTAATCCCTGGTGAACACTACCACCATGCCAGCACCACAGTGTTAATCAGTCAGTACAATTTGATGGCAAGTACACGTGGGGCCCATTCTTCCGATCTTGTGTCACCTCACTTCGAATAATGGGCTCAAGTGCAATCCAGGAAAATATAAGTGGTGCTAGATTTTCATAAACCAATTGCAAGGTTTTGCCCAGGTTTTGCTTGGCTGGGCCCAAGTGATCCTCTTACCTTAGCCTCCCAAGTAGCTGGGACTATAGGTGTGTGCCACTAACCCCTGCTAATTTTTCTAAAGACAAGATCTCACTATGTTGCCCGGGGTGGTTTTGAATTCTTGGGCTCAAGTGATCCCCCTGCCTCAGCCTACTGAGTTGTTGGGATTACAGGAATGAGCCACTGCATCCAGTTACAGTACTCTTTTTTTTTTTTTTTTTTTTTTTTGAGACAGAGTCTCGCTTTGTTGTCCAGGCTAGAGTGAGTGCCGTGGCGTCAGCCTAGCTCACAGCAACCTCAATCTCCTGGGCTCGAGAGATCCTTCTGCCTCAGCCTCCTGAGTAGCTGGGACTACAGGCATGCGCCACCATGCCCGGCTAATTTTTTTTATATACATATCAGTTGGCCAATTAATTTCTTTCTATTTATAGTAGAGATGGGGTCTCGTTCTTGCTCAGGCTGGTTTTGAACTCCTGACCTTGAGCAATCCGCCCGCCTCGGCCTCCCAGAGAGCTAGGATTACAGGCGTGAGCCACCACGCCCGGTCTTACAGTACTCTTTTTAATAGGAATTGTTTTTTTAAAGAATGAAATAAAACAAAAAGAGCTGACCTAGAAACAATCTCCCTCCTATTAGAAGGAATAAATTGATAAATCTTTTTTATAGCCCATAAACTACCTGAATAAATATTTAGATATTGTCTGTTAAAGGAGATATAAGTACAGAAAGAACATACAAGGTTTCCATAAAATCTCCAAAGACTAAACATACTCTGCAAAAGGAGTGGAAAGATAAAAGAAGTACAGGCAAGTAAGAAAATTTTCTTTTTTTCTTCTTTTTAGAGACAAGGTCTCAATCTGTGGCCCAGGCTAGAGTAAGATATTTAATATTGTGAAATCTACTGAAGAATAGTCCCACCTCTACCCTGACAAATACAGTTGTCTCTTAGTATACAGGGGCGGGGAAAAGATTGGTTACAGGACACCACTCCCTGCCACCTCGCGTATATGAAAACCTGCACATACTCAAGTCTGCGCTTAGCCCTGAGGAACCCTGAGGAGTATATGTATATGTATATGTATATGTATATGTATATGTATATGTATATGTATATACACACACATAGGAAAAGTCGGCCTTCAAGTATATGGTTTCTGCTGACCTCCACCACGACCACCACTACCCTGCTCTCCTGCCCAACAATATTTTCTATCCTCATTTGGTTGGAAAAAACCATCTTGGACACACACAGTTTAAACCTGCGTTCCTCAAGGGTCAACTGTATTTCCCAAACAGCACAGCTGTACTTCCCCAGTGAGAGGCTGGAAACGGCAAAGGGAGAGGAACAAACGACATCTTTCCCTCTAGATGTGGAAAATAAAGCAATTCCTGTCATGTAGGTGAAATCACTTCTCATTAAGACAGACAAAAAGGAGGTCTGGAAATTCAAACTGAATTCCAACCAAATATATATATATATATATATATATGCAATTTATATCACAAAGGATTAATATCCCTAATGTATAAAGAATTTCAAAAAACTGAGATGAAAAAGACCAAGAAACCAATAAAAATGGGACAAAGTATGGACAGTTCAAAGAAAAATAAATGCAAATAGATATTAAACATAAAATGATGCTTAAGCTCACTTATAAATAAAAACTACATTGAGAAGGCCGGCGCGGTGGTTCACGCCTGTAATCCCAGCACTCAGAGAGGCTGAGGCTGGTGGATCATTTGAGCTCAGGAGTTCAAGATCAGCCTGAGCAAGAGCGAGACCCTGTCTCTACTAAAAATAGAAAGAAATTAATTGGCCAACTAAAAATATATAGAAAAAATTAGCCGGGCATGGTGGAACATGCCTGTAGTCCCAGCTACTAGGGAGGCTGAGGCAGAAGGATTGCTTGAGCACAGAATTTTGAGCTTGCTGTGAGCTAGGCTGACACCACGGCACTCACTCTAACCTGGGCAACAGAGTGAGACTCTGTCTCGAAAAAAAAAAAAAAGCAGGAAGATTCCTGGGGTTTTGTCAAAAGGATACAGGAGCTCACACAGAAAAGCTCACAGATAGGGAGAGCTAAACATTAAAAAGAATAATGACTGTAAAGGTATGGCATACAAAACATATTTTTAAATTAAATGTAAATTCAGGGTTAAAAGATATAAAAAGTAAAGCAGGTAAAAAGGATGTAAAATGTAAAAAGAATATAAAATAGTAAACCACTCTGGAAAACTTTGACAGTTTCTTAAAAAGTTAAATCTTTCCCTACCATATCACTCAACTATTCGATTCCTAGGTATTTATTTAGCCAAGAGAAATAAAAGCACATGACCACATAAAAATTTATATATGAATGTTCACAGCAACATTATTCACAATAGCCAAAAAATGGAAATAAAATGACCATCAGCAAGTGAATGCATAAACAAATTGTATATCTGTACAATGTAATATTACTCAGTGCTATGGTCTGAATGTTTATGTCCCCTCCAAAATTCATCATATGTTGAAACCTAATACCCAATGTGACAGTTTTAGGAGATGGGACTTTAGCAGGTATTTAGATCATGAGGGGTTTGCCTCATGAATGGGTCTGATGTCTTTACAAAGGAGGCCAGAGAGAGATCCCTCATCCCTTGGAAGTACCAAGAAAACAAAAAGGGCAAAATTGAATGAGGTCAAGCCTTTAACTAACAGATTAAATGAGAAATATTTTAAATGATATCTTGAGGGTATAATCAGCCAAAATACAAAATGAGGGGAAATTCTTTAGAAAAAATTATCTAATTTCTACAAAGAATAAATGGCATATTAAAAAATATATGTTTGGGCTAGGCGTGGTGGCTCATGCCTGTAATCCTAGCTCTCTGGGAGGCCGAGGCGGGCAGATTGCTCAAGGTCAGGAGTTCAAAACCAGCGTGAGCTAAAGCGAGACCCCGTCTCTACTATAACTAGAAAGAAATTAATTGGCCAACTAATATATATACAAAAAATTAGCTGGGCATGGTGGTGCATGCCTGTAGTCCCAGCTACTCAGGAGGCTGAGGCAGACGGATCGCTTGAGCCCAGGAGTTTGAGTTTGCTGTGAGCTAGGCTGACGCCACGGCACTCACTCTAGCCTGGGCAACAAAGTGAGACTCTGTCTCAAAAAAAAAAAAAAAAAATATATATATATATATATATGTATGTATCTGTTGGGAGCTATATATAATTAAAACGCTTTAAAACACCTATCATCCAAATGTATAGTGTGGACACTATATATTTGGACAGTATACATTGATCCACACTGTACTGTTAAAAAATAATTCAGGAAAATTGATTATGAAATAGGTATTCAATGATATTAAGAAATTCTGTTAATTCTTTTGAATATGAGTAGTATTGTTTTATGTTCAATCCATGTATGTTAAAGACACATGATATGGAAGTATTTACAGGTGGAATCATGTGGCATCTGGGATTTGCTTTCAAGTACTATAGTGTAAGCATACACACACACACACAAACAAAATGTGGCAGGAGAAAGATAAAAAAAGAATGGAAAAATGTTGATAATTGTTGAAGTTAGATCTTGAGTTTATAGAGATTTATTATATTATTCTCTCTACTTCAGTATATGTTTTTAAATTTCTAAAATAAAAATTTTTATTTTTTATTTTTAGTTATTTTATTTTATTTTTTTGAGACAGAGTCTCACTCTGTTGCCCAGCTAGAGTGCCGTGGCATCAGCCTAGCTCACAGCAACCTCAAACTCCTGGGCTCAAGCAATCCTCCTGCCTTAGCCTCCCGAGCAGCTGGGACTACAGGCACACGTCACTGTACCTGGCTAATTTTTTCTATTTTTAGTTGTTTGGCTAATTTCTCTCTATTTATAGTAGAGATGAAGTCTCACTCTTGCTCAAGCTGGTCTCGAACTCTTGAGCTCAAATGATCCGCCCGCCTCGGCCTCTCTGAGTGCTAGGATTACAGGCGTGAGCCACTGCGCCCGGCCAAAAAAAATTTTTCATTTTTTAACTAAAAGGGTAACTGGAACAATTAATATGTTGGAAATAACAGAACTCAAAGCAACTAACCTCTGTCCTGAAGCCAGGGCAATGGGAGACTGTCCATTGGGGGGCCGAGGATCCTCACAGGTCTTCATCTCCACTTCTACCTTGTCTAGACACTAAAATAAAATTCATGGAAAGCTAAGCATCTGCATAAAAACACACACAGCACAAAGGAAGACAGCACAGATCAAATCGTATTCATTTCTGTGCTCCAGTGCCTCGTTGAGTGCTGCATCCACAGTGGGCAGACAATAAATATTTGCTGAATGAATGAACAAACTAAAATGCAAAAGAGGCTTCATCTTCCCCAATTTCCATTAACAGCAGAACCCCATGACAAGCGTAGGATGAGCTCATAGCAGAAAGACAAAACACAAATTCAAGTTACAGGGATACTACTATTTCTAGGGATTCCAGTCTTTGAGATAAAGATATACATCAATCAATTCCAGAAGGGAGTTGAGCTGATAATCACCCAATAGGCAACATAAGCTAAACTTCTAATTTTTCCTCTGACATGATTCCAAGGGAAAATAGCAAAGTCTAGGGTAGAGTCTAGGCAAAAAAAATTGCTACACAAAGTCCAAGAAAACAACTCAGGAGTCCCGAGTCTTGGGTCTCAGTGCTAATTCCTATACTGCACAACAGTTCCAGAATAAGCCCAGACAATAATCACTCTGTGTCAGAGAGACGCTCACAGGGCCACAAAGAAGCACTCACCCCTCCTAAAAGAGTCAGCCTATCATCTTCTCTCCTATCTTTTAAAAACGCATCCCAGCCACCCCCATTTGATTACTTGTAATCAAGAAAGGCCATTACCAAGCAAATTGGGTGTGTCTTCAACTTTGTCCACTGGATCTGAAAGAGGAAAGTAAAGTATCAGGGCTGTGGGAGCTGCCACTCAAGAAGGCAGGCCTACTAACCACAGACAGCAGCAGCACCCTGACCCTCATCCTCACCCGGATGGAGGCCTTGTTGCAGTAGACCCGAGTGATGGCTAACCAGGTGGGCAGCTCCAGCACATTCTGTAGAACCTCTTCATCCAGCTCTAGGTTGGTCAGTTGACCCTCCCCTTTCAGAGTGCTCAAGTTGATTTTGTCCGGGGAAAGATTCTTAGTGAACCTGAAAAGAGTGATGTTAAGAAACTATTATTTCCCAGGGGAATCTGTCTTTGTTTTTTGGATTTTTTTTGAAACAGAGTCTCACTCTGTTGCCCGGGCTAGAGTGCTGTGGCGTCAGCCTAGTACATAGCAACCTCAAACTCCTGGGCTTAAGCGATCCTCCTGCCTCAGCCTCCTGAGTAGCTGAGACTACAGGCATGCAGCCACCATGCCCAGCCTTTTTTTTCTATATATTTTTAGTTGGCCAATTAATTTCTTTCTATTTTTAGTAGAGCTGGGGTCTCGCTCTTGCTCAGGCTAGTCTCCAACTCCTGACCTTGAGCAATCCTCCCGCCTCAGCTTTCCAGAGTGCTAGGATTACAGGTGTGAGCCACCATGCCCGGCCCAGGGGAATCTGTTAAATGGGCATTATAGCCAATAACACTTCTAAATTTGGAGACAAGAGAATATTAAAGAACAAAATTTTTTTAAAGCTAGTCAGGTGAAACAATGGGAGTGAAGAAGAAACAAAAATATCTGTAACTGGTTCAATTGAACTGGTTCAAATATCTGTAACTGGTTCAATCAATTAGTTGTAAACATCACTGCACTTGGACCAGCCAGAACAAATGTGAACTAATGACCTCACTATCTCTACAACAGGTAAGATGTTAGGTAAGACCTATCTTTCCACTTAGGATTATGTCATTATCCTGCTCAAGAACCTACAAAGGGGATCCTGGGGAAATGGCTATAGCAGTGACAACAAAGCCTTTTTGATATAATATTGCTGAATCTCCACATAAAAACACACAGAGCAACTATATAACCAGACAGGAAGTCCATGGATAACATCTAAAACAAAACAGAAGATAAAGTATTCTCATAAATCTCCATATACAAAGAGGTGGGAAAAAACCATCAATAGCTACAAGACATGAGTGCTATAAGCAGTTGTCTGGAACAAAGTATAGGGAAGCAAAAGGGCATCTGATGAACCTGAGAAGAGCCAAGACCACCAGTAAGTATTAAATAAAAAGCAACATGGGCCAATCTGAGAACAGTAACTGAAACTGGGAGGGGTTTTGTCCACTGCAAGGGATCCCTAGTGAGAGCCCAAGGAGCTGGAGCAGTCTACCCCTATAAACTCAGGAAACTAACCTTCCAAAGTTCCTTCCTGGGAAAGGACCCACACACAGAAAAGAATCAAAACTGAACAAGATAGAGATAACAGAAATGAAGACAAAGAGATGGTCCAAATAAAAGTAGGGGAGGGGAACAGCCCAGGATATCTCAAGCAAGCCATTACATTTTTTTAACACTACTGGAAAAAACAGTTTTTGAGTTGTTTCCCAGAAATAGTGGATTTTCTGCAAGACATAGGAGGTGAGATTCTGAAGTCCCCTGGGCAGACTTCCTGACCCCAAGATTCACCATCTCCCACAACTTGCCGCCAATCCACTGCAGCCCCTTGCTAGTTACGCCATAACCTGCCCCAAGCCATGTGACCCCTCCTTGTGGCTCACAATCTCCCTTAGTCAGAGAGGGGGATTGGAGGCAGCTTCTCCTGTTCTCCAGATAAGATGTCTGTTGTATTAAAAATTCCTTTTTTCCTTGGTAATCCTCTTTGTCTCACTGGATCAACTGGATCTTTGTGGGGGAAAAAAGCAACTGGACCTAGACCGAAATCCTGCTGTGGTTTTAACATATGCGTGGCCCTAACCACTCCTTATTCAGACCACTTCTCAGGACTGCATTTACAGAGAGCAGCTTTGAGGGATGAAGTAATCTTTCCCACTAGGACAGAGAACGGCTTTGTTTACCATTTACTAATAAAAGCAATAGATTCTTCAAGCTCAGTGTTCCATTCCTATAGCACATGTGCAGGCATCCATCTGGGCCCATTCATGTCACTCCCATAGGCCTTGGAGGGGGGAGGAAAAGTGATACAACCATTATGCTTATTCTGCTTGCTAGGCCACTAATAACAGGCTTTGATAACAAAGCCCTCTGTTTCTGATCCAGGAGTCTTGTGTTGTCTGCTGGCATCCATGAAATAGTAACAGCTAATTGCTAGCTTCTAAGTAAGGTAAAAAATAAAATCCCAGACTCTTATACATTTTTTAATGATTTTAATTCACTAGAAAAAAAATTTTTTTAAATCAATGTTTACTAACTATGAGCTAACTTTAGTCTCTGAACCAAAAAGACACGCTTTCTATAAATGGATTCTTTCCTCTGAAAACTAACTTGCCATAGAGGGAAAAAGAATTCTTTCTTTTCCTGAAAGAAATGGCTTTCTCATTCCTTTTCCTGAAAGGAACAGCTACATACCAGGAAATAGGACTGGTATGAGAGACTGGTCAAAGAGAAAAGAAGCCCATCTAAATACTTCCTAACAGGCCAGCACTGTGGCTCACGCCTGTAATCCTAACACTCTAGAAGGTTGAGGCAGGAGGATCACTCAAGGTCAGGAGTTCAAAACCAGCCTGAGCAAGATCGAGATCCCGTCTCTACTAAAAATAGAAAAGAAATTAATTAGCCCACTAAAAATATATATAGAAAAAATTAGCCAGGCAAGTTCCAGCTACTCGGGAGGCTAAGGCAGAAGGATCAAATGAGCACAGGAGTTTGAGGTTGCTGTGAGCTAGGCTGACGACACAGCACTCTAAGCCCGTGGAGACCTCTGTTCAAAAAAATAAAATAAAAATGAAATAAACACTGGGGGGGAGGATCCAGATGGCGGACAGAAACACCACCAGACAAAGTGTTCTGCAGAAAAGACAGATTCTAGCAGAAATTAGAAAAAAGAAGCAAGAAGACGAGCATACAGCGGACGAGGGCTGGAAGGAGGGTACCTGAGACCCAGGGGAGACTCCACAGGAGGAGGTTAGGAGGAGAACTGGAGGCTGAGACCGTCGGAGCAGCCGGAGACCAGTGGGAAGGTAGGTGGCTTTGCCGTTTCCCTCCCCTGCATCTGGGACTGCTGTGGCTCCCAGCGGGTGGAGACCTGTGACACCAGCCCAGAGACGGCCGCCGCCAGCTATAGTGAGCCTGCAGCGACCCGGCACCGGATCCCAAACCCCTCAGGGCACCTCCGTGTGCACAGACCGAGCCGAGCGGCAGGCGCCATATTGCCTCCTTCTCCCCTCCGCGACCCTACCCCGCCTGCCCAGAGAGAATACAGCCACAGCCAGAGGCACCTACAGGGAATAGGACCTTCCCTTTGGGACCCTACAGCTGACTAAGGGGAACTCAGACTCTGAGCTCCTACTCCCAGCCACCCAGGTGCTGCTGGCACGGTGATCCTAGAGAGAACGGTGCAGACCTTGAGGCTGAGAGACATAGACCAGCGTGGGCTCCTGTGGGTGAATTGGGACCGGCATGCCTCTCCATGGTGGGGATACAGTTTGAACTCTGGGACCCAGAGGTCAGACCTGCAGACCAGATCCCGTGCACCGAGGTTTCGCATTGACCGGGCAGGGCAAGGGATATACGTGAACAGCCTACTGAGGTGTAACAACAGATCAGGTCCTAGGGGGGCAACCCTCCTCCCAGAACGAGACACCAGCCCAGGTGGCGTTCCTGCGCAGGTGACCCCCGCCAGCATCACAGTCTGGGAGGCCTGGTGGCGTGTGGTCTGGCCTGCTGGCAGAGGCCCAGGAGTAGCTGCGAGTTGGGAGGGTGGAAAGAAACGAGGCCCCTTCAGACTGCGGATCTCAGACAGCCCCACCCACACGCAGACGGGCCATTCCAGCCCTCCCTGACAGCTTTTCCTGGAGACGAGAACAGAACTTTGACCCTGCTAACAGCATTGGTGTGCCTGAGGGCAGGCTTACCCAACCCAGCTCCACCCAGACTTTCTCCTAGACCAGTCCTCACTGAGGGGAGAAAAGGACACACCGGAAGTCCCAGGGCCCACCGACCACCTAAGGCACTAGAATGCCTCCCTACGGAACAAGAGCTGATAACAGGACACAAAAACAACAGCGTAGCCGTTCCTCCAAGCAAGCACCACGTACTGACAGGGAGGGCATCCTGCACAGCCTTTTTCATGGCACCTACTGACTCATTATACAGGAGTGGTCAAATCTCACCCACAGACACACCTACAGGCTCAGAAACTAAACAAGGCGTGTAAATACCCAACAAAAACCTAAAGGAAAGAAACAACAACTGATCGACATGGGAAAATCAGCGAAGGAACTCAGGAAATATAGAACCAAATGGAAAACACACCCCACAAAGAGGCACCAGCCCCTAGAAATGGACACCAACCAAAATCAGGCAACCAAAATGAAGAAGAGGAATTCGTTGTGGAATCATAAGAACACTTACGACCTGCAAGAACAACTCAATAACCAACACAAAGAAACCACAAAAGCCTGCAATAGAACAAAAGTTCACTAAAGAAACAGACACAATGAAGAAATTAACCAAACTCCTGGAAATGAACAATCAGGGAACTACAAAATACAGTGGAAAGTCTCAAGAACAGGGTAGATCAAACGAAGAAAGATCTCAGAGATTCAAGATAACACCCTCCAACTAAATAACTCACAGAGATAGGCAGAGAAACAGAGAAAAGAGCAAAGCCTACAAAGAGATATGGGATATGTGAAAAACCTAATGTTGAGGGTCATAGGGTTACCAGAAGGGGAGAAGACAACACTCAAGGGTTTGGACAAGCTATTGAAGTATAATAGAGGAAAATTCCCAGGCCTTGCCAAAATCTCGATATACACAGTTCAAGAAGCTCAGAGGACCCGGAGATTCAAGCAAACAGGAAGACATCACGACATGCATTTATCAGACCTGACCAAAATATCAACTAAAGAGGCCTTTCCAAGAGCTGTAAGACGAAAGAAGCAAGTGACATACAAGGAAAAACCAATTCGAATAATACCAGACTTCTCTAATGAGACTTTACAATCAAGGAGAAACTGGGGCTCCATTCTCACTCTTCTGAAACAAAACAATGCCCAGCCTGAATCTTATCCCTGCCAAAACTAACCTCGTATA